ACGCTCAGTAGGCCGATTATGTTGCCCATAAGTTGAGCGAAGCGCGCGAAACACATTCTTTACAGAACTTGAATTTTCGTAATAAAGTTGAACAATTTGTAAACGTTTTTCAAGATCTATCAAAACAAGGCTATTAAAAAAATTACCTCTACTTGGATCACCCGATATATATGGGTATGAATATGTATTGTTATTATTATTATTAAACATTACTGAAATTAGTATATACCTTAATCCTTTTGCTTAATTTCTGCCTGTGAACCACGTAAAGACCAGTTTTGGTTCTCAGTGATGCCAGATGTGTTAACGAAACTTTTTATTAAAACTGATGCATAACAAATCGATTACAATCAAACTTATTAACTTATAATATAGGTCATAGACTCTACAACATTTTGCTTCGTGTCCGAAATATTTATGACGAAATATGACGGAAAAAGCCAACCAAAAATCGGAAGTTATTAAATAAGAGATATGAGGTTTAGAGCAAGGTATAAACTTAGCTGACCATTCGTTCCGGTCCCGCCGGGAAAGTCCGGATTCCGAGTTAAGCGTCCTGGGCTTAGAAATTAAAAAAAAAGAATGAGTTCAATAAAATTGAGTTGCTCTCTCACCTATTATATGTCGCGATATTCAGTGAATTATAATATGAAAAAAATCGATGGCTAAAAAAAAACCGTTCACCGATATAGTCACCTAAGTATAAACGCATTCCATTTAAATTTAGCGCTAGACCGCATTTTGAGCAACATAGACGGTTTAAAATCAAATGGAAAGTCAAAATTGGTGGAAATCACTAGATCGCGTACATTGGGGCTAGAGGAAGATCTGTACTGATTGTATTAACTTTTGCAATTACTCAAGTGTACTCGATAACATGTTTACAAACAATTTTATGAAGATAACTCACACACTGATCGGCATTTTAAAAATAATGTCTGCAAGAATAACGAATATTGACCAATACTCATACATAACATAGGTATATGGTATGAATTCCACCAGAAGTTTAAAATTCGTATATTAGGTACCTTGGGGCTAAGTATTCTATATAAAAATAATGTATGAAACAAATTGGGTTGAAATTGGTTAAGTAGTTGCTAGTCCGCGTATATAGGATTTCACTTAAAAGTGGCTCGCTTGTTCTTTTATCGGCTACAATTAAGCCCGTACCATTTCGGGTGTAAAGTTGAATGTCGCTGACCCATTTATTTATTTGGTCATTTTGGCCTATTATAGGGCGGGACCACGACCACTATTTCAAAATGTTCAGCCCGGTTGTGCCGCTCATTTCTATGATTTCCTGTTCCAAATTACAGTTTTGTATTTTAATGTGGACCTAGTTTTAATAATAATAACTCTCACCATAAATGTGTCACATAAGTGAAGTTTTTCCTGTGGGGATATTGAGTTTTAACATAACCACACACTTCCTTGTAAGTAACCATAATGCTTTATTTTATGTTTAACCTCGCCTGTGTCCTTAAGTCCGATGCCCGCGATTACGTAAACGTAAACTCAATAAAAGGAAATAAATAACTGTCATCTAGTCGAGTGTGAAATAATTTGCAATTTTTCAGCTGCCTGCAAACAGTTAGATATCACAAAATACATTGGTCAGCGAAATGCAAAAAGTCATAACATAACCTTAAAGAAATATAAGATTTATTGAATTTAAAGGGTAAAAAATATTGTAGCATTTATTTAGCATACATACGAATATATTCAGAGTTGTTGTGTTTTGCTGCGAAGTTTACATATCTCTATGAGCAAAGCATTTTGCAATTAGCATGAAATCATGTGACCATTTACTAAGATATCGTGTCACTGGCAGGCTATAAATTTATTCTCGATGATTTTTGTTGTTATTTGGTTCGCCAATAGCATTGTGGTGTCAGTTGCACTACCTCCGATGCATTTTTGTATGCTTTTGGGCTGTAATCAAGTGGATGGTTTTCCTACCATTCCCGACCCATCATTCTGATTGTAAAGCGCATTCCTTCCGCCTGCCACACTACTTCGTTCTTTCATTTTCCCGTTACTGCCACAGATGAGGAAGGAAGAAAACTTCAAAACATCGCAATTTCAAATTTTACGACTTTTTATTTGCCAAGAGTCAAGAGGTTTGGCTTCAGTTTCAGCTCCGTCTTAGTCTCCATGGCAGAGACGTTGTGGCAGAGACGTTGGACTTCGTCGTCGGTTGCGCTGCAATGGCTTAACATTTAACTGCATCAGCTCTGCAGCATATACTCGCACGCTTGGGTATGCCAAGTTTTTATGCGTTTTGTTTGCAACGCATTAAAATTAAGCAAAATTGCAAGTTTTCCAGCGATCATAAAAATTGAATTGAAAGAGTGCGAGCGATAAGGTACACTAAAATCAAAATAAAAACGACAATGCAGAAAATGGCCAAAAATAAAATAAAAAATATTAATAGAAAATGAATAAGACGACAATACGACAATACGACGAAAGGATAAAATGCTTTTACTGAGATGGTGTACAAATTCACGAGGTACTTTTTAATTGCAATCATTGAGTTTGGAGAAATCGTCGAATATTTATGTAACATACATTTATGTATGCTAACAGGTGGATTTCATCTGCAATGTGGTTGGTTAAGGTACTTACTTGTATATATGTGAAAAATATTTCCAAAATACAATTAAGGTTTCATTTAAAAATATGCAAATTGCTGCAATGCTGCAAACAAATAAACAAGTAAGGTAGAGTTAAGTTCGGGTATAACTAAACATATTATACTCTCCCCGTTTGCTCAAGAAATATCTTCCGGTCTTGACAAAACTTTTTATTTAAAACTGTTGCATAGGGAATGCTATGTGATTTTATCGATTTTATCCATTTTTAGCATCAAGACATATTATTACCAGGAAAACACGTTCTCTCTATATATATATTGCATAAAGTCAACCTGAACTTTGAAAATCCTTGGATTAAATTTTTATTATATGGAATTTAATATTATATAGAAAATAGGATTGCTTGAATCCCGATTTCACTCATTTTCACAGTGTAAGAAAAAGTTGTGAGAATAGTGTTATCCAATGAATTTGGTTAAAATTGGTGATTTAGCTCCTGACATACAAATTTCGCCTAAAGGTGGGAGTTGTCACTCCCATTGACAAATTCATAATATCAAAATGAGAACAATCGGTTTAACTAGAAAAATAACATTAAAAGGTGTTTTCTTATGTACATATATATATACGAGGCAGATTCGATAAGTATTAACCTACAAGAACAAACACTTTTGGAAAATTTCGATTAATTTGATTAATTTCTCGACGAAATTTTTTTTTAAGTGGATACCTTTACACCAAAAAGGTTTACATCATCATTTTTATACCCTGAGTAGGAATTGCCACGAAGTTTGTAACACTCAGACGTAAACGTCGGAGACTTTATAAAATATATATATAAATAATCAGCATGATGATCTGAGTTGATTTAGCCATGTCAGTCTGTCTGTATATACGCTAACCAGTATCGCAGTTTTTGAGGTATCGACCTAAACTTGTGCACTCATCTATTTCTCCCTAAGAAGCTGTTCATTTGACAATATATCTTCTTGAAATTTGGCATGGGTTATTGCCTAAGGCACTGACACTGACAATTGACAAATCTTTTACTTTACACATAACTCAAAAACATGTCATCAATATTGTGTGAATAAAATGAAGCTACCCCTATGTGACTACTTTCGCAAAGCTAGGGGAATTTGGTGGCGTCGGTTAAAAATATATAAATGTAAGGACTAGTAAAAAGAAATTAATCTCGCGTTGTATCCGGCGTTATAAAGATAAGATTTCGTACTAAACAAACTTATTAAACAGTTTTGTAATTGCTTGAGTCAATATTGTATGAGCACTCGTCAAAGATGGATACCAGCAAAGGGAAAATACGCCATATTTTACATTTCTTCTCCGATAAGTGCTACAGCTCAAATCAGGCAGTTGAAAATGGTAATCAGGACTATGATTTGTAACAGCCAATTTAGTACACACACGTGTTGTTTCTGTTCCGGTAATTTTGGCCTCAAAAGTGCGCTACGGTTTCGAAGGCGAAAATAACGATGAAATAATGGAAATCATGGAGTCTGACCGTCGTGTAAGCACTGTTTGGCTTGCCCTGCAGCTAATCATTGCACGTAGAGTCGTCGCAAACAGTGTCCAAGCCAGAATTGAGGATAAGGAAGATTTTGCTATGTGTTTGGTGGTACTCGCAGGAAATCAGCTACTATCAGCTCCTACCTTACGGCCAAGATTTTAGTTCAGACCTGTGATATCAATAATTTAACCGTCTGAAGGCATCAATCGCCCAAAAGCGGCCAGCCAAACGCACTCGCAGGAAGCTCCGCGAGATTTGTTGAGAGGGTTTTATGTATCCATCTTATAGTCCGGACCTACCATCATGTGTTACTACCTGTTCCTGTATAGCGAATGATTTTGAATGAAAAATTCGCCTAACGAGAAGCTTGTGAGAATCGACTGTCATAACTTTTGGCAATAGGGACGACGGTTGTTTTAAGAATAAGTTATGAAATTACCGTCGAAATGGCAACAAGTTATTCAATAAAAGGTACATATTTGACCTAAATAGGACATTTTTAACTAAAACCAAATAAAACCTTAAATTTAATGCAAAAAGAATGGATTTCGTTTTACTACTTATACATACATATGTAAACGGCGAGCCTTGAATGCCTTAAGCTCAATTAGGGACACATTCGCATCTACATAGATCTTCTATGTTAACAACCAAATATTACTCTTTTTTTCTTTTTTGATAAGGCCATTTATTTTTTGCCGTTGCATTACGTTGCGTTCTAACTTAAGACTTTAATAACATATAAATTTGTTTATATTTTTTTATTAATAAGTAAAACTTCAATCGAAGTTATTTTAATATCAATATCTTTAAAATTGCATCTATTACTTTTCACTAATTTGTTTCTATATATACATATATATATCTCATAGCAAAGCGAATTGTGAATCAAACCATATCGCTACATTGGATGGATAGACAATTATACTATAATTACTACTCATCCGCAGCACTAGTAAACACTCCTCCTACATATTTTCCATATCCGATTGCCATTGGAAGCAACGGCTTACTAACATCACACTTTTCGCATCTAACGGCCTCTATTCGACCACCATCGCCCGAGCAACCCACTCTAAGTCGAACGCCACCCAGTCCATCTAAGCCTTCGCGACCAGGTAGCATCCTCAGTGAAACGATGTCGCCGCCAGCAGCCGCTACAAGCTTGACGTCATCCGCCACAGCTGCTGCAGCTACGTAACAGCAACATCAGTCGCAACGCTACAGCCAGTCTACTCATGCAACCGCTGCTGTTGCAGCTGCAGCCGCAGCGGCTGCTTTGCTCTTAGTGTAAGTATTATAGGTATAACTATTTTATTATATACTTATATGTTTACAGATGTACGTTGGTAGAAAATACATAAATAAAGTACAATATGTTTTTTAGACATGTGGTTTTCAAGAAGAAATAAAACGCATATAAATTAATATTATATTATTAGCTTTTTTATATACTTGTATATAAGGGCCCAATTTTCGACCACTTTCTGCAGCAATTGGGACCGTATGTCAGCAATAACGAGCCGAATATACTCTTCCAAACCATCAATCGTTTCGGGCATATCTGCGTAGACAAGGGACTTCACATTACCCCATAAAAAATAGTCCAGCAGTGTTAAATCGCACGATCTTGGAGGCGCCGCCATAGGACCGCGACACTAGATAATACGCTAATCAAAAGTTTCATTCAGATTATCATCACTCCAAAGCGACCAATATCGGGGTTGGTGGCCATCTCGTTTAGGCCCATTTCCCGAACGTGCGACGCGCTTTTTGGTCGTTCGGCTTCAATTCTTGCACGAGTTGGATTTTGTATGCCCGGAAAAATCTTCCTTCCGCAAAATCTTCCATAAAAGTCTCTTGCAGTCTCAATAACATATCTTACAGATTGACCGATATTTTTGGCAAAAAGTCAGCCATATGCACTGGGGTCCACATATTTTGTATATGGGGCTTGAACAGTTGTCTGATTTGAATAATTTTTGGTCACAAACTGTCACACTTCAAACACAACAACTTAACTTCAACCGTTAATATCTTTTAAACGTTTACGAAAAAATCGTATAAAATCATTTTTTAAAGCATTCAATTTTCTACAAAATCCATGAAACGAGATATTTTTTCAAGTAGTTGGAAGTAAGATATTAATATTTTTTCTTCTGATAATAAGAAAAAGTAGAAAACTGTAAGGCTAATATTATATATTGAAAATGATTTATAATATGTGTATAAGTATATGTAATTATTGTTACTCTGAAGTATGGCTATCCACACTTCCATTGTTATATAATCACAAAACTGTATCAATAATTTTAACATGAGAAACCTTCCACACAGAGTTTACATATGATATGTATGTACATACGTATATTTTCACATTGGAAAATGTTTATATGTATAAAACATCTACGAGCTCCGTACGAACCGACTAGGTTTCGTACTTCCTTTATAAGTAAAAGCCTTGTGTTTTCTCAACGTGGCCTTTTTGTGTGTTTTGTTTTTCACGCCCTTTTTGATAGCAATGGGTGCCACTTTTGTAAACGGAAACGTTCTGTTTCAAGTGGCTACTCTTGTAGATGGGCTGCCTTTCAGCGTCTCATTTCGTATTCCTTGCAGGAGCGCAGCTTTTAATCAAATCAATTTTGTGCATACTTTTATGTTTACAATTTAAGTTTTGTGCTAAATTTTCAGTTTCCGTCTGCCATGTCTTTGTTGTGCGAGATGCTGTTTCCAAAGCCAATGCTTGATTGACATACTTACAAGTAAATACATCCTCAATATATACATATATTGATATACATGCATACAGATAAATGTTTGTATGTATAATCATTAGTAGTACATTGCCGGCATGGAGCGTTTTAGCATGAGTAAATGGAGACCCTCTTTTAAGATGCAATTGTGACGTTTTCTAATGAAATAATTTTATATACCATATTTACGTAATCTTCTTCGTGCACAACGAAACTTAAATTGGCGTTTACTATCAACAAAAATAGACTAATAGGAGGCTAGGAGCTAAGATCCATTTGTATTGTTCCCTATTTTACAAGGTTTAAGTGCAATAGCCGTTTGGCAATTTGCAAGAATTGAGATTGCAAAAAGTATAACGGTTTCCGACGCAACTGCTTTTTGGTTGAAGACGGAAGGATCCAACGTTAACATTATTTCTACAGCATTTTTGGTAACTACCGCCAGCGAGGACATGGAAAATCATCTCATCTCATTTAGCAAAAAACGAAATGCTTTCTTATTTAAACGAAAATAACATATGAATCTGCAATAAACATTATGTAAAAGCCATTTAATTGTCAATAAAGCATTGGCTTACTCAGCGTTAGGAAGTTTCAATGGATTTTAGTGATAAGTAAGGTTTTTCCGTATACGCAGAACACAGAGCAGAATCGAATTACCATAATTTTTGGTGCCAAAATTTTTAGCTGCTTAATAATCTATCCAATCTTCACTTTTTTAGGTTGGCAGCATTAATGAAACTTCGACTGAAATTAGTTGTAGTTTGTAATACCAAAAATACTAATTCAAGTCTATTATAATAATATATCTCTAATAAAACCATAAATCACACTTTAACAGTCTACTCTTTAGATATTATTTCATATAAGTAAACGGTCTTTGGAAATTATTGCATATGAAAAATTGCGACAGAGATATTCACTGTTGCAACTAATTACATTGCTTCCGTGCGCTTACTTGATATATTTTTGCGTATTCGGTCATCCAGACACTTTTATAACGTATAGTAGAGTAAAGCAATTCGGCAAGGTACGACGTGGCATGTTTTGGACAAATTTAAAAATTTAGAAAGTGAGTTTGCCTTAAATATTTAATTTAAAAAATATTTTTTGACATACATACTTTCGTAACGAATTTATAATTTAGAATGCCACGTACAACTCAACTATGGCTTGCACCTATTTACAAAACTTCGAAATACATGGTATATTAAACCAGTAAGAAAGGGCTTGGTTCAGGGCGTAACCAAACATGAAAAACTAATACGGTACTTGTTCAGTATATCAAACTGTGCTTATTCTTTGACGCCCAGTTTTTGTGTCAATTAGGGATTTTGCATGGATTGAACAATATTCAAAAAACAATACAGACTTCTTCAATTAAGTTCTTAAAAACGTAAGCCACGATCCTTAAATATATATGTCAGTAAATTGTCTTTTTTTTATTCCTTATATTTTTCCGTTTAAAGTTTAAAATGTTATTTAAATATCATTACTAAAAACTAAATAAATTCTTAAAGTGCACATATGACTGTTTTTTAATTGATTAGGTGTTCAATCAAGCGGGACTTCTGTAAGTGAACGAAGTGTTTAAACTCGCGTAACATGTTGCTACAGAGTGTTATAGATTCTCGGAAACCACTTAACCAATTTCAACCAAACAATGTGAAAATGGATGAAATCTGATGATAACCACGCCCTTTTCCCATATATAGATTATGTTGAAAACCAATAAAAGTGCGTGGCACTGTCCATCCTATGCCTTAGAAACTACTGTACCGATTTCTGCCAAATTTTGTACATGATATTATTTTGACTATCATATGTTCTATTACAATGGGTCACATCGGGCTGCAACCACGCAAACTACCCATATTTCAAATTTTAAATTTAATATGATGCTATCACTTTACACTATACAACTATACATATGTATATAATAAGATACCAAACATATGTGTGAGCCTTTCACTCTTTCGTCAAATAATGGATGTTGAATTATTTCGCAACTTTCCTTAATATAACGTTTTTCCTACAGCTGAACGTATTTCCTCGGCTTTGATCCTTCCGAGAGTAAAAGATATTCGGTTACACCCGCACTTAGCCCTTCCTTAACTGTCGTCTCCTGCTGATAATATAAATTCTCAAAATTGCAATTACTAATTCCTTCTGCTAAAGCATTAAGCAAATAAGCAAGTGCTTTCGGTCTCACCATGAAGGTGCCAGCTGAAGCTATAAAAATAATTTTTATGTGACCGTAATTCCAGGTAATTTATTTAATAAGCTTTGATACGAACTAGACACTTTCTATTGGGGTGGGTGTTACGGACCAAAGCCTTTTGATTTGCTAACTTTGTTTCTTTTAATATTTTTTTGCTTAAATGCCATATATGCCTTACGACTTACTTTTCATTTTTCCCATTTTTTATAATCTCATACACTGAATTTTATTGTCCGAAATTCGCCCTATGAACTTCTCAAATATCTAGTTTACTCGCTTGCCGTCAAGTGATTGATTTCTCAATTCGTAAAGTTTAACGCTTTTATATACAGCTGGTGGAAGTCTTCTGCTATATACATATACTGTTGGGAATAACGATTGATTACAAATAACCGCAGATCTAATTTATTAATTAGAACAAATGGTGGAAGTGTAAATGCTTTTAATTAAATCATACATTCGAAATAGATATTATAATGTGAACAAACCAGACTTTTGTAAGCTCGAAATTTTTCCGTTAATCTGTACATGTGTACAATAATTTGTCTTTTGCTTCAAAATAGCCCTCAGTCTTGCTTGCATTACCTCTTCATTATACCCTGAACAGGGTATGGTAAGTTTGCCAAACCGCAGGAAAAGTCGGAGACCCTAAAAAATTTATATATATAAAAGATCAGCACGATGAGCCGAGTCGACTAAGCCATGCTTGTTTATTTGTCCGTCTGTCTGTCGGTATATACGCAAACTAGTCCCTCAGTTTTTTAAATATCTATCTGAAATTTTGCACACGTCCTTTTCTTACTAAGAATCTGCTCTTTTGTCGGAACGGTCGATATTGGAACACTCAGCAAAAACGACTTGAGAAGATATATTCACCAAATTTGGCATGCATTATTGTCCAAAGCAACGGTGCAATCTCTGAAGAACTTCTATGTAGCTGCCATACAAACATACCGATGAAAATCAAGTCCCTCTAAGGAATATTGTGCATTTGTGAACGTTTTTCTTGTTTTTTGCTAAATTTGGAAAATGATACGAGAAAGTCGATAGATTGTCCTGAAACGCTATTGAAAGTTTTTTTTTTTGGATAGTCGATGGAAATATTTTTATGAGCATTTCAAAAATAGACTGTATAACTCCACTAGCTGGCTGTTTCGTCTTTCCCGCTATGGATTAGGTTCATGGCATGTAATCCACCCGAATCCAAACCAGCCCGAAGTCATTTGTTTTGTTTTTGTGCAAAACAACCTCTTTTGGGAGTCCACTGGGTACACCGATTTATGTGATCATACATGGACGACCAACTTGAATACATATTTGTATAATCGTCATATCATATAACTATGCACGTATGTACCATATGTATTTTGCTCTTCTGGCATTAAATGCAATAATTTCTAATGCCACTAAATATTTTATAATAAACTACATACATATCCATACAAGCAAACTTCTTTAAGCAGCATAGCATACCACAGGCAGACACACACGCTCACCCGAAGCTCCAATCTAATATTAATTCGGAAATCACTTCGAGATCATAAAAACGCACTCAACACAATTCAGTGTTTGGCGGGAATTTTGACATTTATGCATAATATTTTACTGAAGATTTTGTTGCAAGCACACGGCGAAGAGTCGTACCTTTACGAAGAAAAGAACTCAAAATTTCGGGTGGTTGCAGGATGGGATAGAGTATTGTCAGACACCGAACAAAAGCGAAAGCAATAAAATTAGAGCCTTTTCGAATCTGCGTCAGTGTGAACATGCGCGGTTTGTCCAAGTGAAGCCTCGATTGCGATTTCGACAGAACGCAGAAGTGGTAGACGCGCTTTGATTATGCATTTGCCGAAATAGATCATTAAAATTGAAGTGGAAATAAAGTAAAAATGCAATAAATACAAAAAACAAATTTAATGGGGAATAAAAAACCAGACGCATCCAAGAAAACAATTCTACAAAATTGAACAAAACATCAAGAAAGAGCTTTGCCTGAAAAACTAAGAGGGTAATCTGCTGGAGTAATTAATTTTGTACTAAAGGATTTTGCGAAATCGACAAAGTCAACTTCATAATATTGTTGTTGTATTTTCGTATAAGGTATACTGCGTATGTGGCTAACCACAGCATTCAAAAGTTGTTCAGAAGCCATTAAAGTTGTATAACAGATTAAAGAGTCGTTATAAACCGACCGTATTGGTCATGAAATTGGCGGTGGTTTGCTTTAATGAACGCTCTATGACAAATAAAATACTTAATAGTATTATTATCATATATTTATAATGACCATTTAATAGTGTTCGACTATTGAACAAGCGAAGTAGATCTTAATAATTTTAGGGTTATTGCAAAAGTATGCCTTGAATACACAAAAATTAAAACAAAGAATTCATAAAAACTTTCATAACCAAAACAATATCAAGTTATTAGTCTTAGTTATTTTACTTTTGTAATAGTTCTAACAATTTTTTTTCGGTGACGGGATGGTTTTTTCTATTGTCACCCAAATTTTTGTTGATTTTTAGGAGAAATAATTACAACACAAAACTTTTTTTGGAGGGTTTCAAGAGTAATAATTTGTTTCGCAAATTCTATGTTATTGTGTTGATAAATTAAGTCATAAATTAAAAAGTAATTTCTCCGTTTTTCGAACTTAGCTTCCGAAAACGTAGAATCAATCAACTCAATCTCTCGAAAAAATTTGGTTTTGTACAATACCCAGCCAAGTTTTTTTTAAGGTGCTATATCTTCTGATACAAAAATTATTCTCAAACATTATTTTCTATAAATGGCACTGCGGCTTCTGTTTTCAAGGCTTCCGCTTTCAGACGATGTGAGCAAATCCGTTGCCAAACCTCACATTCAGCTGCTTATTTTTTCAAATCAACATCCTTGCATTTATCCTTTATCATACCTTTTCCAATTGCGACGTTACATTTTTATACCCTGAACAGGGTATATTAAGTTTGACCATGTTTGACCAAAATTATCTAAATCGAACCAAAACTGTTCAAGCCCCAAGGTACTGAATATGTGAACCCCAGTGCCTATAGTTGACTTTTTACCGAAAATATCGGTCAATGTGTAAGATATATTTATAATTAAAATTCATATAATAAAATAAATAAATGAAACTATCAGTAAAAGTATGCCTTTGTGTCAAAAATGGGTTGAATCGGATCAATACTTCCTTTAATGTAAAATTTTGCCAACACATGTAGTAATTTTCCGGGCTTTGATCCTTGCAAGTTGCGAGAGTATAAAATGTTCGGTTACAGCCGAACTTAGAACTTCCTTACTTGTTAATATTTGGTGTTAAACAGTTCTTCTGCTTTGTAAGCGCTTGTTGCTACAGTGTGATATGCACATATGTTTAGGAACGTTTTCATATATGTATACTTGTATATGAAGACTAACGAATTGTAGAACATACATATTCATACTAACATATAGAACGTCAAATTTATGGTATACTTTGTTGCATTCGCTCATTAAAAAGTAATTTCGAAATGAAAATATTGTCGTGCTTCCGCTCATTTATCGATGCCCGGGCACTACGGAAAGAGTATACATTATAAACGTGCTCTCATTTCCAACTTACAAACAGACACAACTGTCTACCAGTTTCCTTTACCCTGCACCAAGGTATTTAACAATATATAATATCATAGCAGGCAGTTACGCATACCTACCTATGTACATATTCGTAGATACTCGTATGAGAATTTCCGCTGCTAAGCGTGGCAATGCTGACTGGCATCATAAAACTTTTGTGTGTTGCCATTTTTAGTGGACACGCATTATTAAAATAAACAGTTCCTCATATACTTAACAATTCTAACTGAGATTCACCAACAAAGGGCGCTGGTACGGGCAAAGCAGCTTTACTACAACTTTTTTAAACATAAAAAACTTTATATCCTATGCTCCCTATTGTAGTCTTATATTTATATAAACAATTTGGCTATGGCTTCTCCGAAGATTTACGACGACTTATAACTTAAACTCAAAAATTTTTACGTTGAGTATTTAATGAAAATATATAAAAAACTCCACCCTTCTCAACTGCATATAAATGCTCTAATTGTATTTGTTATTTTTTCAATTTAAATAACAAATAAAACTCTACGACAGCTAAATGAAGCGAGAATGTATTGTAAAATGGCAATTATGACAGTAGACAGCTCCAGAATTTTGAAGCATTGCCATTTAGTTCATACACGTTATCAACAATGTACCAATGTTAATAAGAAACAAAATTCTGGGGTCGATTAAAATTTGTACAATGCAAACTTTTGGTTATTATCAAAACGGTTAACCCTAACGCACACACTAGTTGTATTTTGGTGGACTATACAGCTCCACAAACAGCTTAAGAGAAAAGTTAAAAAAATAATATGGTGATATTTTTGAACAAAACTCCCCGGAGCACTTTTGTCACAAAGTTTTGGGACACAGTTCAAAATATCTGGATCCCAACGCAACGCTAATAAGACCTAGTATAAAATACTCAAAAGTTTCTTATCAAAAGAAAAAAAAATATATACATAGTATATAGTATGTATATACATGTACATATGTACAATGTACGTTAAGATAGATCGACAATATATATAGTTTTTTATAATTATAAAACCGCTTAGTAATGAAAATTTGCCTTTATAAATTAAAAAAATATTGTTTTTTAAGATAAAATTTTAAGGTCCCTCTCCTGAATAATTTTAAATTTTATTTTGTACTCAGCTAACAATAAACTTTTACCTAAACTAATGACACCGCCGTCCCATCACAGCCAACAATAGTTAGAGCTTTTAAATCTGCCAATACGCCTTAAATAATTTATTATTATTTTTTTTATAATTATGGTGGTATCCAACCAGGAATCGGTATAAAGAAAGCTACATACTAATTTCGAACTCAAATACAGGAATAACACGGCTTTTCAAAGCCTTGTCTCTGTCAACCACGAGACAAGTTTTTTTGTTTCATTTCTTTCTTTTCATTTTCTTAACGGAAGCAACCAAATATTTCTTTCTTAGCTATTCGTTTATTTTTTCACATTTGCAAATAGACATAACTTTTGAAAATGAAAAGGTTGATTTTTTCCGTTAATAATATTGTCTGCCAAAAACGATTGTTTTTCAAATTCACTACACCCAAATGTCGAAAGCTAATGACTAATGTATGATTATTCAATAATGATAACAGAAGAAAAATATTTAATAAACTTCTATCTTAGCTACCCTTGTCATCAGATTTTATGTAATTACAATAATATCAGTGTATCAGTGCTTGGCACTGTATGTATTTATGTATGTACATATGTTATTTGAGAAAACCTGTGTCTAACTCTTTAAATAAATATAAGTTAATTGTTAAATTATATATAAATGTACACACTTAATTATTTTCCTACATAAATCGCTTAAATATTATATAAAGCCGAATATTAATGGAGACAAATCGATTTCTTTTTTCCAGGGATGACTAAACCATTAATACTGAAGCTAATCTATTTAATTGTTATGGAGATAAATATTTGCAAATTTAGTGGAACTATCACTTGGAAAATAGCAATAATTTTAACGGAAATTTAGTGGAAAATTGCGAATATAAGGATTTATTAAATAAAAAATTTTTTAGCAATTTTCATTTGTATATAATTAATATACATGTATTAAGAAGTTGGATGCATCTTTATACTTAGAAATATTGTTTACTAACTCTTTGTAAAATCTACTGGAATATTCTGGAAGCCTAGGAAATGGACACGTGGAAAAGTGAACATAGATCTCATTACATCAAACAAATTGCACATAGTATGCACAAATATAAATATATGAAGCACAATATGATAAATATTATATATGTAACGAAAACAGTTTGCATTTTTCAACAGCTATAACATTTTAAACATAAATATATTGTGTGTATGTAAGAACATATTTATTAAAGTCGAATTTGTAGTAAAACGTTAATTAATATATTCCAAAAATGTAAAGAAAGCTTAATTAATTGAATACATTCGTTAATAATTCAAATTCATAAATAAAATATTAAATATTATATATATGTATTGTATATAGGGGAAAAAAACTAAGCAATGAGAAAATATCAAGTGAAAAATCCTATGTTTATTAGATTAGTTTCAGAACTAGTTATTTATTCTAGTTGGTAATTTAACTGTGAATTATAATAAAACCCATTGAAATAAAGTGGATAGCAAATAAAGAAATGCATAATTGCTGCGATTAAAGAATTTTATTTTCCAAAAAGCAAATAAATAGTTGTTATTCTAGCCTTTAGAAAACACCCAAATCAACAAGAAAAAGAAGAATATTTAACATTTTTTGCAGCGTTATCAAAAGAAGGTCGGCAAAAGAAGCTTGCGTGGTTAGTAACTTCGTTATACAACTCAAATATCGTCCGGTGAGTAACTTTTTCAAAGAGAAATCGCACGGTGCCAAATTGTCTTCATGTTGGAGGAATTTTTTCTTAGCCAAATTAGGCCGTTCTATTGGACTGCGTTTAAATTACAAGTATGTCAAACACTGTTGTGAAGTGGTATAATGGTTGCGCTTATTGTCCAAAGCGAGCAAACGCGGCACGCATTGGCTGGCTTTTATATTGATTTGATTCCAAGCAATTTTCCTAGTTAAACTATTTATTATGCACTATTATTGATTTAGTCAAGTCCGTTTGTCTGTATACATACTTGTATATACAAACTAGTCCCTCAGTTTTTAAGCTATTGATCGGAAATTTTGCACCTGTCCTTTCCTCTGAAAAGCTGCTCATTTGTCGGAACCGGAAGCGGAATCAAGTGATTGTATGGAAAACTCCCGACAGAAAACTATGTTTCTACTGAACTAACAACAAAGCAATACTTGCTATAGCTAAGTGAATTCCAGGCAATGTTAGCCAGCAGTGAATGAATGACAATTATCCCGTTGGTTTCGAGCGAGCTACCACGAACCAGAGAGGAGAGATCATTGATACACTTTTTTAAATATTTTGAAAAGAAAGTGTAGGATACTTATGCGTCTATAACAGTTGTGTGAAATATTTTCCGTGAACTTGGATAGTATCCGAAACTAAGAATTGCAATGTTTGTTAACTGCATTAGCATTTTATAAGTAATATTCTTGCAGAGTAATTAATAACAATGTTTTCCAAAAACCCCAAAAAATGCATTATTGACCAATATTTTAGCTATGAAATATAATTAAACCGTTATTTTAATGCGATTTGACGTAAAAATTAGTAGAAAGTATAATCGATTTAGATCTTCCCCTATCCCTCGTATGACTATTTTAATTATTTCCGTTTCTACTTAACTCTGCCAAAAATACATGAAATTACTGCACTTAGCATTGAGTTTCGGCTGTTTTCATGAATTACTAGAAAATTTATTTCAAAAATCTCTTGGAACATATAATTATTCGTTTCAAGCAAATACATACATATTTAAATTAGCATTTTAGTAATATTTTCAATGAAGTTAATGCTACAGTCATAAAAATTATTTATTATAATACAATACATTCGGACATTTAAACTGCTGTAACAAAATTGTTTGCCTAAGGCTTAGCACTACGAAATATATATATGATAAGTAATGTAAATATAATTCAGCGATTATTCGGTTACTAAACAACGCGAGTTTCATTTCAGATTAATGATTACAAATGTAGTTTAACACTGTTGCATTTAAAACCTATAATAAAATTCTAAATAAAAGATCTATGAAAAATGTAACTGTTTACATGCCGAAAAGACCTCTGAGATCTTCCATTGTTAGTTTGCTACCCTCTGCAGAACGGGCGCCGGTAAGCACACCGTCAGCAATTGACATTTTATGATCCTGCAATGCTTTTATTCGTTCTTCTACGGTATCTTTGCACATAAATTTATAAATGACTACATTTTTCTTCTGACCCACACGATAAATACGGTCCTGCGCTTGTGCTTCCAACTGTGGGTTCCAATGCAAGTCGATCATTAGCAAGTGGTTAGCACCGACCAAATTTAAGCCTACTCCACCCGCAGTTAACGAAAGTAGAAGAATTCTCTTATTATTGTTAAGATTATTAAACTCTGTTACAATTTCTTGACGGTTTTTAACTGGTATAGTTCCATTAAGAGATAATGTTATACAACCCTCTTCCTCTAAATGTGTTTTCAGTATATTCAAAACGCTGGTCCACTGTGAAACCACAATAGCCTTGTCATTTTTATTAAGCACTCGCGTTTTCAAAATATTCAGAACCTTTTTAATTTTAGAGGAGGGTCGTTTAATATTGAATACTGGATTGCTACGTTGCAGAACTTTTGCCGAAGCTTTGGCAATTATCTCTTCGTCTGGTTTAAGACCCTCTCCTTCTTCTATACTCCGATTTTCCGAACTATCATTTATTGCTAAATTATTCAATTGCTCCAGCAAATCAATCTTTAGTTTCTCATCATCACTGTCGCTCTCCATGTTCTCAGCGTTATCTGTATCGTCAAGCATCTAAAATATACAAGACATCTATCATTAAAAGAGCTCACGTTAACAAGTTATTGTCATATTCTAATGTAATACGCTATTCATACCGCATCAATTAAACCTGGATGACAGCAGATTTGCCGTAGCCTTAATAGCAAGACCAAAATTTCATGTGATTTAACGTCCTTTTGACCGCGATGCAATTTTGTGAATTTCTCATGTACCTTATAATACGCCCCGTTGGGATCTTTGGTTTGCATGAAAGTTGGCTTATTGCTATCCTCTCTGTACATAAAATCAGTGTTGCGATCCGCTCGTTGAAGAAGGAATTGGGCAAAAAGCGTACGCGAGTAAACCATTATTTTCTGATATACATTCATTTCTTCTTTGTCCAAGCAGACGTCAATAAGCTCGATGCGCTTTTCGGGTAAACATTGGAGTGCTCCACGCTCTTGAAGCATTACTTTTGTTCGACGAAGCATAAGTGATTTCATCAAAGCATTTAATCGCTGCTGTCCTCCAGCACTTTTGTTGTCAATCCACTTCTTCCAGTGAGCTAGTTCATTAAATGGTGTACAACGCAGAAATTTAATGAGCGCGTAGGCATCCGCTTCCTTGTTTTGGATTGGCGTACCCGTAAGAGCCCATTTGTATTTGCCACGTAATTCACATACCGAAATTGACATTTGAGCTTTGTGGTTACGTACAACATGTGCTTCGTCAAGTATTATCCGTTGCCACTTAATGCCAAAAAGGGCGCCTTGAGACTTTTGCTCACGTGACACAATGTTGTACGTAGTAACAACTATATCGTATGTTCGTAAATGTTTTGGTTTTGTATCCCGATTGTTACCATGATGAACACAAACAGTTAGTTTGTGACGTTTTACTTTATTATCAACTTCTTCCTCCCACTGACGAACTAAACTCGCCGGACAAACAACCAAAGTTCCTCCAGGATAATCTGTAAAAATATGATATTCGACAAGGAGAACCATTTGTAATTCAGATACTCACAATCTCTTCGCCCTTTTGAAATCCATCCTTCATTTTCATTTTCGTTTTCACTTTCATCATCCTCCGGTTTAGTACCATCTTCCTGTTCTGAACGATTCTTCGTAGCAAGCACTAGCGATATCATCGTTAGTGTCTTTCCTAGCCCCATATCATCAGCAAGAATACCACCTCGCGGTTTTTGCTTCTCTCGCCAGTTCATCCAAGCCAATGCATGTTTCTGATGATTCATAAGTGTGACTCGTAAACCCACTGGGTCCTCAGCAAGTATATCTTCAGTAGGGCAGGTCTTTAGTGAGCTATGAATATCCTGTAAGAAAAATAACTTGTAAGTTTAAATGATGATTGCAATATGTAATTCAACTATTGGCTAAACTGTCAGTGAGGTGTGAAACATTTTAATCAGTTAATGCGAAATTACGTATTATCTCTGTGCATTCAATGCAAAATAACTTATGCAATTGAAGGCAGATAATAATATAATATACAGCAATTGTTTCAGATATCCGTTCTACAGACTTCATCATACAAAAACAAAATCGTTGTTTCTGACATTAAATATATTTTTTACAACAGACCTTAAGACGTTCAACTGTTAATTCACGCTGGGCATTAAATGTTGCCAGCCCTTGTTTCCCCGTGTGAGTTGGATTCATTTTGTTTACAGCAGCAGAAAGATCATCCCAGCTTAACGGATCTACCTTGTTTCGTACTTGTTGTTCAAGAGGCGACATAGGTCCGCTATCATCTTCCACTTTAAGAGTATTTATATATTGAGACTTTATGTGAACATCATTTCGTAGACGATCAATTCGAAGGGAGAGCTGCCTCCCACCATCGGGCAAACTATTGGATATTTTTTCAAGTAATTTCTCTGCGCTTTGCAACTCAATTTTCAGTTCATTTAGTTTTCTCAATTCTTTATCAAAAAACTCTTTTGATACTAGAATGAATTCCTTTATCGCGTCTTTGCTGATAACGGTTGCACTTTCTGTGTGCAATCCCAACTTTGTAGAGATTTTTGGTTGTACCAAAAATGGTTTAGGTCTAACCACATCTCCTTTTTTGTAGTTAGGTGTTTTTGAACTTTGAATAATGTTATCTGGGTTACTTTCATCACTGCTGCTGCCAATTTCAATTGTCTTCTCCTTAAAACTTATAACTTGAACATCACTCTCATCTGACGATTCTACTTGAGAGCGATATTTATCTTTTGGGCTTGGTTGATACATCGTAGACGACAACTTTTCTTTTATGGCATTTTCAAATTGCATACTATAACGAACTGAACTTAACGGTGAATCAACAACCCCATGAACTAATTTTTCAACTTTTTGCGTATTTGGTGTTCGAGGATCATTGATTGCAGTGGCAACTGCACAATTTTTTTTATCAGTTTCACTTTTATCATACGTAATACTGTCTTCAGTTTCTGCAGCAGTGCTTTCGTCGACTGTTTCTTCTGAAGCTGATTGATCCAAATAGCTATTTCTATATATAGATCTATCGGCTGAGTTCGATTTTATTTGATCTTGTACTGTGCTCTCCTCACATACATCACTCTGTTCGTCGGAACTTTTTGTTGAATCCTCTTCTACCTCTGATCTTGCATCCGAGTACTCAATTTCACTAGAGTCGGAGAGATCCGCCGGCCTTACACCTGTTATACTCATGCGCGTGCGTGGTGATAATGTTTGTTTTTCAGTTTCGGCATCCTGATCTGAATCAGATATGTTTGCGCGGCGGTTTTTCCCCTTCTTGCCTGCTGCGTTTTGAATTAGAAAACTGTCATCAGAGCCTATAAAAATGTGTTATTAAATCAATAAATATTACTAAAAGACAAAGAATTATTACTCTCATTTTCCGAATCCTCGATAAATACTTCACCACTGGGCAAGTCAGCAACATCTGGAAACGACAGATTATTGTTATGTACTTCTGTACATATATGCTATAAACACGGGTATTTTCTTACCTTCATTTTTTGACTCTTCGCTAACGAATATCTCTTCTTGGTCACTACAAACCACTTCATCCGAATCAGACATTATTTGGAAAATCTTCCTTACAATAAAATTACCTAAAGATGACAATGTGGACAAATAACGCGACAAATTTTATCAAGATTTGAATATACTGTTACGAGCTTTGTTTGTTTTCACTTTTATTTATGTTGGTGTTACCGTGGGGTTAGAACACAATATTTTATTTACCTTACCTGGATGTTACACGATCAATAAATAGCTTTTAAGTTTCAATTTACTCACACTTTTCTACTACCACACACTCACCATAGACTACTAATAAATTTATACACAGGTTCTAATGAATTTGGCTAATTCGTGTTAGAAATTTTTACGCACGATCAAAGTCCCCGTCAAGAATATCGGAAGCCTTTAATAGCCTTTGAACAGATGCATGGCAAAGAGATTCTGTTAAAACTATCATTAATACAGTTTAATGTCAGCAACATCTGTTAGGGTAATCAGTTCAATTCCCACCACAGCCAGTTCTACGTTTCCGGAATTTACACGAATTTTATTACGCCGAGGACTGTTATTTCGGCGATCTAAACCTGTTTGGGTCGGTAAGTAGTAAGTTAAGTTTGCAAGCATTAGAGCAACACCTTACTGCAGCGTTTATCTGCTTCCTCCTGATCCGTGGAATCGCGTCTAGTCGGACCTGGAATTATTTTTCTGCACAATCCAAACTCAACGTCTGTAAGGTGTAATACATGCAACAGATGTAGCCATCCCAAGGCCTGTTCAGGCAATTCTCCCAGGTCCCTTCTGTCGAAATCATAATTCTAAGCTAAAAATCTTGTAAGTCACTTTTGAGTTCACTGGACTGTTAAAAAAAAGTCCAAATTTAATGGCTTTACACTTATCTCTATTTCGAATCCAAACAAATTAAGGCTTTACTACTCATTACCCGAACTTACAACTTCTTACTTATATCTTAATTGTTCTTTACACGGCAGCACTCTAAATAGAACTGTGTTTGCTGCACAGTCCGGCATCCCTTAGATCTTTGACAAAATTTCGCCACTAGAACATTCTGGCACATCGAATTCACTGTCTAGTTGATTCAATATATCGTCGATTCGGTTTTGTTTCATCATTATCGTCACAATATAAAACGATATAAAACGACAAAGTAGTCCTCGTTTGAATGTCGTCTATTCACTGATTTTTCTTACCGATTTTACAACGACAGCTGCCATTTCATGTTCGGGTTAGAATTTAACCAAGACTCCCTTTTCCGACAGTTTACCAGAACTTATTGTGGATGATTGCTAACCAGATATTAAGAAAACCATTTTTCAGCATGTTCCTGATAAAGTTCTGGTTAAGCGATTAACCGTATATGGAGAAAACGGCTCTTAGCTAGTAGCTTATGACAGTGAAATTAAACTCGCCTATTAACATTTATCTGCTCTGTACAATTTTTACGCTAAGGAAAATCTTAGCTGCAAACAACGTGGCAAGGTGGTATGCTACATTATATTCATCTCTTTCATTAAAATTGGACTTGACATTTCTTCGGCAAGCGAATGTGGTTGGGAAATATCTGTTTGTGGCTGTATTGCATTCATCGGCTGTTATAAATCTTTTCAATTAAAAGTTAAATTTGTGTTTTGCAACCATGACCGGTATAATGGATTCTATAGAAATGCCAAAATTGTCAGAAAATCAAAAATCCTTCGCTGGCATACCAGAGGCTATATTTCTGGTAAGTTGAATGAATCAATGCCTTATAGGGCGTTTGTGTCGCCATAACCTTATAGCTTAGATTTGTTGAAAGGAACTGATTCATCAAATTTTATTAAATTCCTTATTCAGGAAGAAATTGATACTTTTATGGCACAACCAGAAAATGAAGACAATTGTGAGAAAGTATTACAGAGATTAGATGAACAACATAGCAAGTACAGATTTATGGCTTTTAATCTTGAAGCACGTCGACGCAAACTAAAATCACAGATTCCAGACCTGCAACGTTCTTTGGAGATGATAAATGTTTTAAGGGAAGAAAAAGAGGAACGAGAAACACAGTTTCTACTAAGTGATCAAGTTTTTATAAAGACTCTAGTACCACCAACAAAAACGGTATGTCTTTGGTTGGGTGCCAGTGTGATGTTAGAGTATCCATTAGATGAAGCCGAAGACCTTTTGAAGCAAAACATGACCTCTGCAGTTGTTAATCTTAAAACAGTAGAGCATGATCAAGATTTTCTTAGGTATATTTAATAACTTTTATAATAATTGCATTGTGAGCTAATATTATTGATTTTTTTAGGGATCAGTTGACGACTACTGAGGTAAATATGGCTCGCGTCTACAATTGGGGTGTAAAAAAAAGGCAAGCTGCGGCAAAAACGTCTCCACCAATACCATAATTTTGAATATTTGTTAATAAATATTCGTTGGAACTGACAACTTCGAACATTAAAAGTAAAAACTGTTTGCTTTGAAACTTTATCTGCTGGATAGAATGAATCACCAGTCTCATAAAATATATTGAAACTATTTAAAATTCGTGTCTGAAGTTTGTATGAAAAAAATTAACATGCAAGCATTCCATTTCAGGGTTCACTCAGCAAAAATTGGCCTGTTTACGTGTACCTCGAGCTATAAAAAAATACATTAAGAGATTGGGCTTTAGTCTGTTGCAAAGTACAATTCTCAAATTTGTATGTTCGTTTATATTCATCAATATTTTGTTGTCAATTTGGTTAACGAACTTTCCTTCATAAACAATTAAAAATTGAACATTTCTTAATAACTTCCTATATAATTTATATAAATACACGCATTCTATAGGTAGAACGTGTAACGCTAGGAAGCCTATTAAGCTGAGCAGTAAAAAAAATTACTGTTGAGAAATACTGCAACACATTATTTGATCGAAAAATTATATATATAGCTGGTGATTTACCTCCTTTCACTTTTGGCAATTAAGCTTACAGACAGCCAATAGGTTTTGTGTTAAAGCACTTTAATAAACTAGAAAAAAATCAATTTCAATATCAAATTAATGATTATAAAGTTTTACGTTTACTCTCAACTCAATCCCATTTTTTGTTTTCATGAATGTAATCGCCATCTGGACTAACGTAGTTTTTAATTGGAGGTGTAGCTACTGGTCCTTTAATTGTTACGGGTAAAAGTGTCATTTCTTGTTGAATAGCTTCTTGATATAGTTCTTCAGACTCTTTTCGCAGCTCGCTCAAAGCCTTGTTTTGTGATTGTAACAGCCGGTCGATTGTTTGGAAGTCAGAAACTTTCTCTTGATGTTTATATTTCGCCCACTTCTTGGTTAGTAATGCCCTCGTTTCAAGATCCTTATCACTTAAAGGTGTCAATTTCCGGGTGCGTTTACTATATATAAATAGATTTTAGGAATATTTCAGTGTACTACTATAAACTTACTCCTTTTCGTCCAGGAGCGGAAGAGGAATTTCAAGTTCTTCTATTGGTTTCAATTGTCTGGCATTTTTCTCAAGTCGTCGAATTTGTTTTTCCAATTTTTTTTTACGACGATCCTCACGTTGTTTTATAATTTGTGGGTCGAGTTTCTTCTTTTTCTTCAGTGGTTCAGCACATAAAATTGGAGATACTTGCAGACGACTAATGGAAGTAGAGCTAATTTGACGAATTGATGACTGCAATGTTAGCCTAAAAACTTAGTCATTAAATTAATGTATACATATATAAATAATACACATTTACTTGCTAAATGCAACTTTTAAAGACATTTTTTTAGAAATCACCGCACAATTCAGTTACGTTTTTCATACTTTCAGCTGTTCACTAAATGTCATTTTTGACATTTTTCAATTGCATAACTTTAATGGCTGATTCACACATAACTTTTATTTCTCTTTACCTTAGACATGTGCTTTCACATCCCTACAAGAAACTGGTGATGGGTTCACCAATAAACTCACATTTATTATGTCAGTACTGTGTACTACGTTAATGAAGCGTACTATATTTGATAATTTTGATGTAAAAAGAAATGCAGAAAATTGACGACGCCAGTCTGATTATAGAACGTTAAGCAGTGACGGAGATTGTTAAAGAATAGAGAAGGCCCAAATGCTGGTTGTTGTAAAATGTAAGTTCATATAAGGGAACATCGAAAAAGTGGAACTTTGAAAATGAAATTATACCACGTCATAAGGGCTAAAATTTCTAGCTTAATAAGAGAACCAAGCATATTTTCACCACTTTATAAGATAATTTGGCAATCGAAAATATACAATGTGAGCAATTCTTGTTATGCTTGACAATTCGTACTGTAACGGCAAAGCGTAAAAAGGAAAGGATATGCCAGAGTCAACGTTTTGCATTCCCTGTAACTGTTACTTGGCTTGCTTTTGCTTCGCTTTACTCCATTTCGTTTCAATGTGAATGTACTCATACAAAAGCGTAAAAAATGTAATAAAAATAATAAATGAGTCTACCAAAATTTCACCAAAAAATCTGACGCTCATATTTTTTGAAACTTTTGCGCAAAAAATAATAGATACTCGTACCAACTTACCCCAAGCCGATAACAACAGAATAGAAGCCAAAAAAAAGGTTTGTACTACACGAAGAATTAGCTAAATGTTATAAATAATAACAATGAATACCAGTCGGTTGCCACCTAATGCAGTTTTTATTAGTGTATATATGTATGTATCTATTTCAAAGATCTCATCAGATACTGACTTTAAGTATTTATGTTTAATAAAACATTATAGATATAATTTATGAATTACTAAAGGTGAATTTTATCACAGAAACAATAAAAACCAAATAATTATTAAATTTTTTTTTCATTTATTGATATAAGTACATATACCCCCATACCTCGCTCACCGGCCTAGATACGTTCCAAGAAACTTGGCCGTAAAGGGAAAAGCGATATAAGGTATCAATTATTTTAATACGAATTCAATGAGATCGGTTCCAAATTGGTTAAATATGTAACACGACTTATCATTCAAAATGCATTTTTATCTTTTCATTTCCTTTAAATCAAAATTACATACATAACAATTACATATATAGATTTATACATTAAATAATATCGGACTCGAAAAAAAATTGCGCAATGCTGTGCCGCTAAGAAAATGTGCCCTCCGCGAAATGCCGAATGCTACGAATACGAATGCCTTATGCGAGGTATGAGTGTGTTTTGTAAGTATGCTAGTTTAATATACTCATATATTGAATTATCTTATTCCCCGGTTAGCTTCGAAAAAGTGTTACTCGTCTTTCAGCTGGAGTTGCTGGAAACCAATTGTGTGGAATCTCCACTCGTTCCTACTGAGGTTCACAGTACTTACCGATCATCTTCTTTTTAACCGCATAGTGCATCCGTCGCAATTGTGTTTACCCGCCCGAATTTGACGGCAGGTATAGCTGTTCACCATTCGTCGTTCCGTCTGAATTGCAACGGGTGCTTGAGTCAAAATATGTATGTTCGTTCTCATAATGAGTATGTTACCCGAGCTTTGGTCGGATTTTTTAAAATTATATACCTACATAAGTACAATCAAACATGGGAATAAGAGTAGATCAAATGATTTTTTTTGAATCACACCATTAAAGATATGATTAAATATTAAGACGATTTTCCGTATTTATTCGTTCTAATTAACCATTAACTTTTCAACGTATTTTCGTTGCGCTAACATCATTAACATCATGGACTATATACAAATCGAAAATTCTATATTCAGGGTTTATTAATGAATGAAAAATTTATATAGCAAGAAAAACTTTTACTTCCGTTGCAACGAAGCTGTAATTATTATCTATTAATATTATATATAAAAAAATTTCCATACAAGAACTTAATTTTGATCGGTTAGTTTGTATGGCAGCTATATTCTATAAAGATCCTATCTAAGCAATTTGTTCGGGTATTTGTAGCATTGCCTTAGACAATAATCCACGCCAAACTTTGCTATAATATCTTGTCAAATAAATTTTATTTTTCAGTTTGTACAGTGGTCCGATATGGGTGGTTCCGAAAAATTAGCACTTTGATGGAAAGAAAAGGGCGTGTGCGAAAATTCAAATCAATATTTCATAAACTGAGGGACTAGTTCGCCGATATGGTTAAATGGACTCAGATCGTCATGCTGATCACTTATATACCATATATACTTTATAGGGTCTACGGCGTTTTCTTCTAGGTGATACAAACTCCGTGACAAATTTAATGTACCCGTCTAGGGTATAATGATCGAATAGTAGAGCTAGCATCGGGTCTAAACAACTGCTGCTAAACAAATCAAAGCCAGTTAAATACCTTCAGGTCTGGCAATATTAAAAAATATAGCGAAAGGGTTCAACTTCATTGTTCGCCGAAATCGTAAATGGATTACAATCAAAGTTGGTGTCATATTAACTTATTTTGAAGGTCATAGACTCTTTTACATCCCATCAGCGAAAATTATATTAAAATCATTGGGGCAGAAAAATGGAAGAGCTTATTGCATTAATTTTTGACATTGCTCAGGTATACTTATTGTACAGTTTATTTTCAAGCAATTTTATAAATATGATATATTATATAAATATAAACATATGTATATATGGAGTAAAGTTAACCGGACGTTTCGAAATCCTGAATAACAGTTATATGGAGGCTTAGACAAGTTATCGCCCGATTTTATCCATATTAGGCTCACACATACACTGTTACTAGAAAAACTCGCTCTCTCAATTTCATTAAAATAACTAGTACATTGGCCGATATATGTAGTATAAATTTGAATTGGAAGTACGAAAATCTTTATATTAGGTATATGAGGGCTAAAGGAAGGGGCTATTGATCCGATTTAATCCATTTTTAACACAAAGGTATATTATTATCAGAGAAATATGTTTCCCGAATTTCAATAATGTATCTCACATATTGGCCGATATTTTACGCAAAAAGTCAGTCATACGCACTGGGGTCCACATATTTAGCCTCTGGATTCTTGAAAAGTTATGATCTGATTCTGACAATTTTCGGGCGTAAGATGAACTACCTACGGTGTACTATTTGTGCAAAGTTTTATTCGGAAACATTGATTGGTTCTTGATTTGTCTACGGGAAAGTAGGCGTGGTTTTTGCCTGATTTCGTCTATTTTTACACTGTATTGTAAGAATGCGAGGGTAACATCACATACCGAATTTGGTTGAAGTCGGTCCAGTAGGTACCGAAATATGGATTTTCACCTAAATGTTGGCGATGCCACGCCCTGCCGCCAATTTAGATTTCATATAAAGCCCTCTTGTACCATCTAACTATGTGAACATTTTGTGATCGAATTTCAAATAATATCGGTTTCCAACAACATTAATGACACCATTTGATTTTTACTATTTTTATACGATTTTAAAACTTTATTTCTCAAGATGAAAATAAACAATATAATTTTTTGTATTTTACTTTTTTTTGCAAATTTTACATAATTTCAATAAAATAATTTTTATTTATGATTAAAAATGTAATATAGTTGAATGTTGTATTCTTTTTGTTCTTATCTGCCTTATTTTTCGCCGTTTTAGGGATTCTGTTTTTTTTTTGTGTTTGTTTTTGTTATTTTACTTTTACATTATTGTTTGAATCTAAAGTTGTCGATTTCCTTGGGTAAATACAACTTATGCATGTATGTATAATTTCTTTACATGTTTTTCTACATATTCCAAATATTAATTTTGCTTACTTACAAACTTTGAAGCGATCAAGTTTTCGCTTAATCTATGTGTACAAATGTGTTGTGCATGTTAGTTTCTGTGTCCACAATGAACATTTACAATTCAATGAAGATGCAAAGAACGCGCGTCCGAACTAAAACTAAAATAGCAACCAAGAATTAATTTTCTTACTAAATTTTTTTTTAATTTCAGTATAGAAATATTAAACTAAAGTTTATATAAATTTTTGATTAAATTTCATTATAATGAAAATTAGTTTGGTTCAATGCTGGTAACACATGAGTTTGATAAATAATATTCAACAATTTGAACTCAATGATAAATATAATTTTATAAATAGAACAGCTTCATAAGAAAATATCCTGTTCAATGCGTTGCTCGTGCGAAAATGAACTGCCAGGAGTAAATTTCTGCTGGAACAACTCTTCTGTGTATTTCATTTATGTTTCTTTTGGCTTATAACTCTTAGTGTTTCGCTTATTTCATTAACGTATAAAGCGATTTATATATGTATGTATATATATAAACTTTAATCCTAAATTGTTTGTACTATCTCATGGAAATAATTCCGGTCTATTGCAGTTTAACTAAATCACTTTTTTATTTACTAATTGCCTTCTTGTTGTTGTAAAAGCCCAAACATAAAGTTCTCAATTAATTATGGTACACATATGAGTAATTCGAATTTAAAAGTATATTACCGCTTCAAAAGCTACTTCGAAGACTATGATGATAAAAATGCACAATTAGTATTGTTGGATAATTGTTTGCCAACCAATTGCATAATCAATGTTATAAAAATCCTGAAAGGTGTAAAATATTCTAAAAATAACATTAATTAAAGTCATTTTTTAACAAAATACTAATAGAAGATTAATAGTGTTTTAGCATCTGTGTATATTATTTTTCTCTTGTTCATTTTCAGTCATTCAATTCTGTAGAAGATTTGGGTTTGAAACGTTTTAATGTTCATGGAATTTTCGCAGCCGCTCATTTCACGAAACACATCAGACTCTGCCTTATGTTACGTTTCGGAACAAATTTTTTGGCTTAGTAATAAAAAATTATCCTTATTGGTTATTCTTGACGGGGTCTGGAATATTTAACACAAGATTTTTTCTAATTGCTTATAATTAAAGTTGTTAAGTCGTTTTTTGATGTTTCTATCAATCCAAAATACGCTTGCTAGCACACTTTGCATTGAAGGAGTTTCCTAACTCCTTGGATAAGTTTTTTTGTTTGTTTTATTTGTGTTTATTTACGACCCAACTGAAAGCCTCAATATATCGTACCATGCTATACAGATCTGTAGTGTAGCAGCTCTGCATACTCAAGTTTTGATTTATTTAACGTTCGCTTGTACATATATCCTACCCATGATTAATTTAGTTCTAAAAGGTTCTCATATGCTTATGCCTAGAGTGTTTTCTTAAAGTTTAGATTTTTTTTAAATAATTTATATATACTCTACTTTGAGTATGGAATCAGAATAGCTTTTAATATTTGTTTAATTTTGCTTATGTTTTGAAATAAAGTTTTGTTCAGTATAAAATTGGTCCTACTTAATAGTAGAATAACTAAATATTGGGAAGGGGATCTAAACTAAGCTGCTTTACGTTGAAAATCAATCTGTGAGTCCCATACGCTCATCCGTTGTACCTACTTCGCTTGTTATCTTTTTATGTATTTGAAATAAAGTAAGCCGTTCATTTTTAACAAAATATATACAAAAAGCGCTCTAATTCGGACAATTGAAGATTTTGATTTTTGTTTTGGTCTATTTCGGGCCCGTTTGAGTTAATCATTCATTCGTTTTTTACGATTCATTTCGTTTTTAGTATTTAATTAAATTTTTTAATTTTTCTAAAATTTTTCTGTTTTTTTGTTTGTTATTTTTATTATAAAATCAACGTTTTTTAAGTATTTGTTTTGAAGGCACTTTTGATCGGACGATTTGGCCCATGTGCGAACTGTTTACGTTTCATTTTGGCTGCTCATGGTAAAGTTGGATGCTTTTGTGGTTGTTGTAGTTGTTCAATATTTGCTTAAAGTAATCATGAAAATCCCAAAGTGATTCCAAATGAATTTGCCAAAGGTATTGTCGAAACTTTTTTTATTACTCTAAAATTGTCCGCATACTTCGAAAATGCATTTTGAACAAAAAATCAGATGCCGGTTAGTTTAAATTGGTTTGTGTCGCCTTCCATATCAATGCTATTGCCTCATAACGTTGTTTATATCAATGTAGATCCAGTTATTGTTATTTTGATGTTTTGAGAATCGTTCAATTCTTCGAATTAGGGCGCAAAATGTTGTTGTTTATTATAATTATTTTTTTTTGTTATCGATCGAGTCCTTCAAATTGTCTAATTTCAGAAATGAGATATCAGAAAATTGAATACTATTCTTCCAACTAAGGGAACAATAGCCTCTTGCCTCTTCTTTAATACAAGTATATATTATTGTTTGCCGACTGTGTTCAACCGTGTCAATAATCTCATAGACTAACGTCCGTATAGAGTTTATTCTTCAGGATCAGCGTTAGTAGTTAATTGACGTCAATGAAAGAACTCGTGTGGAGATAATATGAAGTTGAGAAATAAACTAAAGGAAATAAACATATTATATTTATAAAAAGGAGCTACACCTTTTACTCCTATTTGGTAGTGCTGTAAATAAAATGACTAAAGAAACATCCGCGCTAAAGACTTTAAATAACGGAAATCCGGTTATGAAATAATTTGTAAATTACATTTTCAAACTGTGAATGAGTGCACGAAACCTCACTATATAAGTATGTAAGTCATATAATGCTATATATATATATATATATATATATATGCTATAAGCTGTTTACGCTACAATACATATGTACAATAAGTATTATGCCGGTAACCAAAGGGAAGAGCTGATGTGTTTCCGATAGCAGGAGAGTGTTCGAACTTGATTTATATAGTACACATTCCGTTATGTTTAAATTAGAAATAATTATACAAGTATATGTAAGTATTATGTATGAACAAATTTATACGTATATACCATATGTACGTATATATGAATTGTAATCTCGTATGTATGCTCATGAAACGTGGTACAAGATTACATATATACTTTTACTTACTTAATTACATACGTATTTATGTGTGTATGTATTCGTTTACATAGATGTGAGTGACATGCATTTATAGAATTTATGTGTGTGTATGTAGTTTGGTGTATATGCATAAGTCTGTACGTTAAATGTAAGTTTGTTATACACAGTTATAGGTTATAAAGTCATAGTTGTTGTTTTTGACTGTTCAGCTTTAGTGTGCACAAATGTATGCATGTATATTTTTCATAAAGCCAATAATATTAGTATTAAAACTAGTTTTGTTTTTTTGATTTATGGATGTGTGTTATGTAATCTTTATACGGTTTGCTTTTATATCGTATTGTGCACATTTGCATTATTATTGAGCTTCTTCGATTCTTCCAAAGAGAGAGGCTTATAATTTTATGCCTATACAGTTATACAATAATCATAAATGCTACATTTCTGTGTTTACATACAATTAAAAAGTAAGTTCAAGTAATTCGGGCTTAAAATTGAATTTTCCTTAATTGTATTTTCTTATCTGCTTTATCCTAACATAATATGCACACATCCCTCTAATATTTTACTTTCATTGTTTTTTTTTTTGCTTAGCATTCGTTTACCTCCTATCACTCATCTCAGTGAATGAAGAATGCGTTAACTAAAGATCATCCAAGACGCTGTCACAACATATAGGATTTTTATTTAATTACAATTGAACAAAATCTTTTAAAGATACATATATGTATATTTATTCTTTTTGTTGATTTTTGTTATTTTTTTTCTTAATTAATCTTTTTTTTCGCAGTGTTTTATATTATTAGAATTTTGTTTGTTTTTTTGAATCGTTGAGCAATGTTTATATAAATTTTATTTATTTTCTAAATTTATCAGTTTCTCTTTTGTTTTAATGTTTACTTATATGGTAATAACATAGAATACACCTCTTAATTTTTGCTTTTGTTATGTAGATGTCGTTGAAAAATCTGTGATGAAAATTAAAAGTTAGGAGTAATAATGAACAAATGAATATCAAAACGTTCAAACTCAGTGGAAATCAAACTATGTAATATACTTATAAATGTAAGCATATTGGTTACAATGCACTGTGCAATATTTTCATATTTGAAATCTGCTTTAGTAGTGGAATTTATCTTCACCGATTTTGATTATGATTTTGAATTTTGTAAATAAATAAAACATCATTCTTCAGCTAACCGGCGACATTATTGCCTGTTCTTCGATACGTTTGCATACCTATTTTCTTGGCTTGCAAGTTCACCTGCTCGGCTTGCTTTTCAATATCGATCGGAAAGGTTCAGTCGCCGGTAAAAGTTGTCATTTATTTATTGCTTGGTTTGCTTTTTTTGATTAATTTCCATCATTTCTATTATATTTATTTTTGATAATTTTGCGGTTACAGTAACTTTTGAATTTTGCTGAGATTTCGTTAATTTTGGCTTATTGTTGTTGTTAATTGGTTTGAATTTTGTCGATCACTTTAATTGTGTTTTTATTATGGAATCGTTGCGATTGCTAATGATTTGGTTTGCTTCCGGTTATGCCCTTATTGTTGTTGATTTCAGACAGCTTTTTTTGTTTGTTGAGATATACTGTTTTGTTGTTTTGATTTCAATTATGAAAAATATAATTTAAGGCAGATGTTCTGTTTTGATAATTTAGATGCTATATTTGTTCGCAGAAATGGAAGTAATCTAGTTGGACGATAAAAACCAGGGTACATATTTGGGAGAATTCTTAAGTGTTTCATATAAACACGTTGGTCAATGCGAATCGGTATAAAAACGCTAACAAAAAATTTTTCAAACATCGAAACTTTAATTTTTTTTTCACCAGAGTGCCGTAAATAAATTTAAATAATTTTCATTTCTTGTAATCACTTTTATTCGCTTTGGGATTCAAAAAATGTTTTTTAGATTGTTCACAATAATTTCCACTTTTGTTATTCTTTTAATTTATTTTGGGTTTTTTCGTTTTTATTTTAATTTTAGTGTTTATGTCGTTTATTTTTGTTTCTTAAAGATAAGGCGCGAAGGTGCTTAAAATAAGCTTGTACTTTTTTCGTGATATATTAAATTTTTTTCATAGTTCCTCATATTTGCCCATAAAATGCATCTCAATTTCTCCAGCGCTTTTCCACAAATTTTGTTTCTACGAAATTTTGACTTCCAAAATTTTGTAATTTTTTAAGTAATTTTTGAGTTTGGTTTTTGGTTTTGCTTTTAATTTTAATTTTAGCTTTTTTGTTATAATTTTTGAATATAGTTTTTGAATATTTTTGTCCTTGACTTACACCGAGAGAGATTATCCAAAGGTGGCCGAGAGGTTTCCTGAATTTAAGTTCCAGAATTTTTTGTAATATCCATTTTTGATCCTACATTTTGTAAATCGAGTTCCAATTATACGCTCTTCCGCTAAGTTTGTCATGTTAAAAGTACATTTAATAATTTTTAACGTCGCCGTAATGTCGAGTAAAGTAAGGGTTTTTAGTAAATATCTGTATTTTGCGTTTGATTTGTTACCATCAACGGGATTCGAACAAAACTAAAGCTGGTGGTAAATTAAAAAACTATGAAGAATTCTGCCTGTAAATTATAATATTGAATATTTCAAAGTTTACTTTTGCATATTTTCACAGATTTTCTGTAATTTTTGTTCAATGAGTACTAGCTAGAATTGCAATGTCATACATACTTGTACATATGTATGTTCAGCTGACATGTTCAGCTGAAAAAATCTTAGATGTCGGAGGTTTACGCCAGAGGGTGTAATACAAATTTATATTTTTTTATATCAAATAGTTTTTGTTTATTTTTGCTCCTTCAAAATTTTGTAAATTTCTATTTTTCTTCGTTTTCATTTTATTTTGTTTTTGTTTATTTGTTTCAACATTCATGTCCGAAAATGTACCTAAAGTGCCTAAAAGTACGTCTAAATTGTCAATTTCCTTTAATTGTATACTCTCTATACTCGTATAATATATAGGAACATTACCGAAAGTTCTCTTGTTTCTTACTAGTTTTACATCTTACACCTAAACATATTAATTAAAGTTAATTTAGGTTATAATTCATTTAAATTAGTACAACTACGTTTAGTTTCATTTTTTTTGTGCATACACCCTCCAACGTCTCCCTTAAGCAATAGATGTCGCGCTTTCCACATCCGTTAAGTACTTCGGGGGTTTGGTAGATTTATCGTAATCTCTTACGTTTTCTCAATAGTTTCAAATGTGTCTCATTTCTTGTTTCATATTTTTCTTATTTATCGCTAAATCCGGGAATATTCGTCACTTCTAAATGTCCGCATTTTTCATAAAGATTTGCCAAAGTTATGTCCAGGATTGCTTTTTTGTTTTCAAAAGTACACTATCATCTTTCTTACTTATTAGTTCAGAAGATATTTCTGCGTATTTATTTTTTTATTATATTTTAGTTTTAGTCCACGTAAGTTTATATTAATATTACTTATTTTATCATAACTCCATTCTTCCTTTCTTGAACTACCTAATATAACGAATTGATGCCAAAATCTTTATTTCAAGCCGAAAAGTTTTATCATCAAAACTTATACATTGTATACATACTCGTATTTATATGTACAATGCCTTCTAAATCGTGTTAATACTTATACGAAATTCATGAGGGAATTATAAAAAAAAATTAACAAAAGAAGAAAAATAAATTATTGTCTAAAAGAAAAAAAATACTTAGATAAGTGTTAAAAATTTAAACATTTACATACTCAATACACACAATTCCAGATTGACCAGAGCCAAAAAGAACCATTGAAAATGAAAAACATACATACCCACATGTAATTATTCTTCTGTCGTCGACACATAACTCAAAATGGAATGACAATATATCCAATAAACTGACTAGTTCTACTATATTACTTAGCAAAAATTGAGTGACATTTTTAAGCATACATATATATCATATATCAGTCAGTAAAGAGTTAAGAAGTTTCGGAACATTAAGTGCTTATGTATATAGTATTAAATTTTCAGCTCTGCCAAACTGGAATTGCGTGGTGTTTTAACTTCATTTAGCCAAAATACGTAATTTCGTGCATTCTAGGTTATTTCTTTGTGATTTTTATGATATTTTAGGAAATACTTCGATTCTCTAAATGAAAATATTATTTACCTCAATCGTTGTATGTGTATTAATGTAAAAATGCTACAGAAATGTCTTATCAGGAGATATACAACAAGTATTAAAGTGTTTGCTTTGAATTCTGATACATACACAGAACGACATCCATATTTGAAGTCCATAAACTATGATTTTTGTGTTAGCGATTGCTAAATAGCGACACTTCTGTATTATTCTCATTATCTATGCATATTTGTGTATATTTCGCGAAGATTTCACACGCCTTTCATCTTACTTTGAAATGACGACCTGACGCCAGCATTATAATTCTTCTGATTGAAAAATTTTTAACGAGTTTTTACATAAAAAGTGTTTATATGTTTTTTTAGAAGAGCCAAATAAAAACTTTCGTTCAAAATAACAGTTTTATATATGAGTATGTAGTATGTGTTGTATTCGCAGCGTGACGAATATTTTTCGCTACGTGGTCTTGTTAAGATTTCACTGATACCTTTAATACTGTATACTTGTATATGATTTTTTATTAAATATATACGATTTTATTGAGGGAAGGATTCATATCGGATTTAGTAAGTATTTGTTTTCTGTTTGCTGTTGTTGTTTTGTATGTGTTTTGGTATTTTTGAGTAATTGGGTGTGCTGAACTTAATCCAATGTCATTGTGGTTCACTGTTTATTGTTCGCTTCTCTTTGGGCAACCTTCGCTGTATTTTTGTCCTGTTGGTTGGTTATATTTTTAGTGTATTACATTGCTTTGCCAATGCGTTTAGCTTATAAACGAATCTAATATTTTGATATATGATTTCTGTTGTCTCATGTAATATGAGTTAATGTAGGAATGTATTTATTTTTCATTGATTGCAAACTGAGAGAGTGTGTGCTGATTTGGAATTTTACTCGTAGCCCAAGATTTTAAGTGAAATAAAAGGTTTTCACATAAGCCTGATTTTCAAACACAAACAGTTAGAAAATATTTGGAATTTATACTATACCACAAATTTTTTATTACATTAAGTTTCAAACTAAGAACTTAATATTTGCCGAGGTATATAACATATATAAAATATTGGGTAATAGGGATATTTTGGCACAGCTTTTTAGTTATTTCGCTTAAAAATTCGTATTTCTCTCAATTTGTTTAATTTTGAATATCAGCTACTGTTCATATGGCAAGCAATAATATATTAAGTATACATACTTAATTTACCTACGTACCTAGTAAGAATATTGTTATATATGGATGTGTTATTTGGTGTATGTTAATGTTCAAATGACTGTATATTTAGTGTTTCACTTATTGCATTAATAATTCTTGGAAGATTTACTTCTCTTTTCTGAAATTCGCACACAAACAGTTTCAAAATGTTCAATTTTCAGTTGCATGCAGCATTTTTGCTTTGCTTTTTAAGGATTTTTAATCGTTTTTCTATTTTGTTTTTGTTTTTTGTTTATTTGTTTTAATTAAGTTCTTGTTTAATTAGCTTGTCTTAAACTCTTACATTGCATTTATGTTGTTAATTTCTTTAACTACACATTAACCTTATAAAATGCTTATTTCATAATAATATTATTTGTAGAAATATTTCGGCACTATTGTTGGAAATAATTAATTGATTATTTTGTTTTTAAAAACTTCTTCACTTTCAAACAAAAATTCTTAAGGGCCAATGTTTTTGTTGTTTGAACTCATAATACATACAAACTAATTATATATAAAGAAAAAATAACTGTATGACTCTTTCTTTTTGATTTTCGTTTATTTACTGTTGGTTTGTTTGTCCATCTTTCTTTCTTCACATATAGAAGGTGCTTGACCTGGTGCTGGCATTTAAATAGTGAAAGCTTAGAAATCTGTCGCGTTACAATGAAAGCCCGTTCGATGCACCGTTACGTATGCAGATCGTTTGGTACTTCACTCAAATGTAAAATTCTCTATTGAGTCCCCAGCACTTAATGTACTTCCTATATGTGTTGAAACCCATTTCAATATTAATAGAGTTTTTGAGTTTGGTCTGGGTTTAACATAGAAAAAAACGGTTGTATTGACGTTTCTAACATAAAGATTTGTTATTGTATTAATACAACTCAAACATATTTGAAAGTAAATGGTTGTTGTAACTTTGATTGATTGACTGGCATAGGCCGCACCCTTTGGTACAAGTATCAAAAGTGCTACGCAGCCAGCTTCAATCGCCTTGGTTCCCTTGTGGTAATGGTATGACTTCGATTCATTTAGCGAACGCAGTACGACTGCGCGTTTATTACGTGACTCTCAGACACACCATACACCATTAGCTATTGTAAAATGAACTGGTAAAATTCGGCGCTCAGCGTTCCTGTGCGTTGCTGCGCCTTCGGGTAGGCTATGAAGGAGCGCCAACTTTATGATATGCTATTGTAAAATATAAGCAAAACGTTTGCAATTGGTTCACTTATGTGTTAATATTGACTTAGTTTATATGTATGTACTCATATAATTTGCTGTTCATCTATTTGTTGAAATATTTTAGATTTTGATTTTGTTGTTGGTTGTTTAGAATGAACATTTTCTTTGACTTACTATTTCAATATATTTGTTTGTACGTAGAAGTGTACATTGTGTGTTATGCTAATTTATTTATTATTTATTTCACTTCGTATTGTTTTCTTGTTTAGTATGTTGCTTTATTTATTCTGTTTTTATACATAAACTATTAAAATATCTGATCACATTTGTTTGCAGTCTCTGTATATAATATATGTAGATAATGTGTTTTTATCTTTCATTTCACACAAGTTGTTAAATTACTTTTTAAGAATTGTGTTAAGCTTTTGGCATGATTACTTTATTATTAACGATTACATGAAAAAGAAATTTTCCAATAGAAAACATATTTATCGGTTTCTTCTAATACTCGGTTATCGTTTTTTCCGATTTTAAACTTTCTTTTTACACGAATTTTTGGCATACATTTTGTCATTGCAGATTCCTGCGCTATTGCGTTTTTCTTTTGCTCCTAAAGATTTAACCAATTATATTTGGCAAATCCTGTACTCTGGGATTCTAAAATTTTACTCTCGTTCTGACAATTTTTTGTAACGCCCACTATATTGTATGTGTATGTGACAGCAACTGAACTAAAAATGCTTCTGTATTGAAAACTTCACTGGGCTATTGTTGTGTTTATATATATTTCTATTATTTTACTTCTTTTTTACTATAAATACATTGTGATTGTACTATTGCGGTATTTGTTTTTGTTGGCCATGGCGTCTGTCAAGCGTTTGTTGAGTACTTCTGCTAGTGTATATTCTAAGGGGATATATTCATATACTTCTCGTACATATGTACATACCGACTTGCTGGCCAAGAGCTGTGGTAGTTCGTAAGGACAGCAAAAGGTTCGCGTGGAAAAAATTTTATTATTGCCAATTTATTTGGTTTATGTAGTTTGTACCTGTTGTAGTGCACCTAGACTATCGACAGCTTCGTCGAAAGGTCTAAAGTGTACTTGCTTATAAAAATTATATCTAAGTCACTGGGCTATTGCATTGCTTAATTTACGTATTATTATTCTCATCAGTTTATTGCTATTTCATTTGTTTGTGTAAACCAAAAAATTGTTGCAACTTTGCTGTTTACGCTTTCCCACTCTATGGCCAATAAGTCATTGTATTCTACCTATCCCCGAGACTGCCATAGCATTGAATCAAAACATTTATATCTGTATATATGTAAGTAAGTTAAGTATATATTTAAATGAAAGGAAAATTAAATATTCGTTCAAAATGTTTGCATCGTTGTCGTTGTATTAAAATTCTTTGACAACTTTTTTAATGAAAATCATATTTGTTTGTTGCTTTATTCATCTCAAGACACTAACGGTGAGTTGATACGAAAAATTGCCAGTTTTGTCACGCAATTGCTTTGTAGTACACATGCCTGCCAATTATTGATCAATTGTGAAATTGCTTCAAATAAAATCGAATTTTTTAAAATATATTAAATAAACAGCGCTTTTATCACTTATTTTATGCTGATGTTGAAGTTGGTCTTATTGCAGCTAATTCTTTGTTTTTATTGATATTTTATGTATTTCATGCTGTTAGATGCAGCATACCGCGCGAAAACTGATTCTGAAGGAAGTATACCTTCTTGCTGATATTATTCTATTTTTTTTTTTTTATTTTGCTCATTTCTGATGTTTTTTTATAATCATTTTCTGTGCTTAGGCTTCGTGCAACTCAGTTTTCGTTGTCGCTGCATTTTCAAGTTTCTATATGCCCTTTCAAGAGCGACAAATCAAATGAGAATAAATTGGTTGTTGTGTTAAAAAACTAAAGTAGTTAATTTAAAAAAAAAAAAAAAATTTCTTGGTGTTGCATGCATATATTATTATATTTATTAGTTATTATTTTGTATTAAGTTATTCATGGCTAACTCTCTCCAATCACATCTTGGCTTCATTTCCCCGCTTCGTGGGCATTCGTAAAATCTTTCTATTTCATTTTTTTTTACTGTATTTCAATGCTATTTGTTCGTTTAGTATAAAAATATAAATTGCTTTATAAAACTTTATGTTGGTATTTTTAAAATTGTACTATAAATTATTCCGGTTTTGAAATGCCGTCAATGGCGTTCAAGGAAAAGCCCCCAACAGTCCCACTGTACGACATTTTTCACTATTGCAACTAAAATGGCACAGTATTCCCATGGCCTGGGATCCAAGATCCAAGTCCACAGTTCGTTTGTTTAAGTCTATTAATATTTCTTTAATTTTTTTTTGTTTGTTTTTTTTGTTTTTTCTATAGGAAATGTTTACTATTTAATATACTTTTTTCTATGTTGATCTTTAACCACATCTATTACAAAACATGAAATCAGGATGGAGTAACAGTGAAATTAAGATCTTGATATGAGTGCACGTGGTCTCCGTTATCCAAACCTTTGGTTCGGCGGAGTTATGCAGTGTTTAAGTTCCAATTGGTTACTTCGTATTGTCATCAACTTGTTTTGAGTTGTTATATTAAACTAAACGTATGAATATGGAGCTTTGTTTCTAAGTTGCATAAACATTGTTTTCCTGCTTGTAAATATGTTAAACATTTTGTTGAGAAAATTAAAAATATCACATTCGAGTTGTGAATGTTCCCCTGGGCTATTGTTGTTGTCTTAAACTAAATTCAGAAAATTATTTATTTGTTATTGTTAGTTTTTGTATATTTTGCAACTGTTGCACAGTTGCAAGTATAGTTTTACGCTATTAACTTCAAATTCAACGACTTAAGTGTAGCAGTTCTTTTTCATTATTTTCATTTTTCTGTTGTTGTCGTAACTACTAGTTGTCTTGTTAATCTTGTGTCAACTGGCGTGGTTTTGCTCTTTTTTTGGTGCTTTTATGCAACTTTTTGTATTCACATTTCGTGTTATATGAATATATATCAATTGAATTTCGAATTTGTTTTACAGCCGAAACATCATTATCTACAATTTAAAGGGCGCTAGTGCAGACGTCTTGGATTTTAATAGAAATCTCATTATGTACATAAGTAATATGTTAATTTTCATAAAAAACTAATCAAAATAAGTTCAATTTTAGAATGGATAGAAATAGTTTTTGATAAATTATTTAAATAAACATTTCGTTAATTAATTTAAAACAATGAATCTAAAGACTCTTAATATGTAACCGTAGACGTTAGAAGACAAACTTTCAAGGAGAATGAAGTGAATGCCTGAAAGTAATAAAAAATACAATAAAAATCCGATGACAATCGGCACATAGCGCTTTTTCAATTTTGATAATTTATAGTTATATATGTTTTACTATATGTTATTAATTTGTAACTGTTGAAATAAAAATGTTTGTTGAATAAATGAAACTCGAGTTTAAAAAAAGGATGCGCAATGTTGGACCGGTGCAACGCACAGCCAAAAAGTAAAATTTATGAACATTAATTTTTTTCAAAACTTATTCTGGTTGAGTACACAGTGCGTTATTCCTGGATACACTGCGTCTCTCTATTGCGTATTGAAAAGAAGATTAACCCTTTTCGGGGGTTCAATGGATTTCGTTTATCTTGGTTTCTTCTTCCTTTGTTCCAAGAATATTTTGCTTTTTTACTCTTGCCAAATAAGTGATAAAAATTCCACACTTTGCCCGCTATACAAAAGTGTGTGTGGTTTCGCCAAAGTTGTACAATTTCGAATCGAATCGCGTTTGCTACTAAAAAAACGCAATTAGTTATATTTTATTTTTGTTTTACATCGAGACTCTTTCTTTGTATGTTGATTCATTAATTATTTTTGGTTTTGAATTTGTTTGTTTTTTACTTTTTACTTTTTACTTTTTACTTATAGCTTCATGTGATCAGACTTATTGTAACTCAGGATGTTGAATGTCAAATTAAATTGTAAAAGTATACTTATTAATTTCATGCATCAATTTTTTATAAACTCTTATGTGTGTATATTTGCGTAGCTTTTTTATAATCGAAACTGTTTGTGTTGCCAAAATCGGAGAACCGTTAGTTTTTGTTTTGCTCTCATATAACTGACAGTTCTCAATTACATGATATATATGCAGTGATTGTAGTTTTCCAAAAATGGTTGAATCAACTTTGAAACTGTTTGTGTTGCACAATAATACCGTCAATGGAGTATTTTCCTTTGTGCTTTGTTTTCTGCTTAGAGTTTATAATTTGCTTATCATTTTAATTTACTAATTACTAAATTTACGGTATTAAATGGTTAATTGTAATTATTTTGAGTGGAGCATTGCAGGATATTGTATGGGATTTTAAAGGAGCTTATGGATGGATGTGGGGTGATTTTACTTTATATAAAAATGTGGCTAATACAGTACCGCATTATTCGTTTAAGTACTCTGTCATCGCTTCTAGTTAAAATATTTTTCATACTAGACCTTTTTTACCGTTATTATTCCCGACTTTTCAGGTTGCTTATATAATTTTTAATTATAATTTTTTTTTTTTTAACTTTTTTGTCTATTATTTTTTATGTACAAAGTATCCAATTATGTATTGCATATATATTAAATATTGAAGTTGTGAGTGTATGTACGATTATGTATACTGAATGCTATGTTTGTAGCTATTGGTTTCTCTTCATTTTTGGTTTTTGGATTTAACATCGTCTTTGTTAATTGTTAGTTTCGTAAATATTGTGTTTGCTTTGCTAGTAGGCCCTCTGTTGTTATTTTTCTTTTTTTGGTTATGACGCCCGCTCGGTTGTTTATTTGTAATTCTCTGATTTGTTTCTGTCAGCTGTGAAAAATTTTCTTCGTGATGATTCTTCACAGAACTTGAAAGTTTTTCGTATGTATATCGGATCTGCTCTTCCTGTACTTTCCGGGTAAAATTTTTGGTTTAAATATGTTTGGTTGTCGTTGCCCAAAGTATTAAGTTTTCGAAGATTTTTAATTAAAATAAACTTTGTTTCCTGTAACTTGGTATTTTAATATAGTCCTTGTGTTAAAATATTTGTGTTAGGTTGGAGTATAATTGTAATGGATGATCATCTTTCAAAGTGTAAACTGCATTGCTATAAATGTGAAACATTAAAATGTTTCATAAAACACTAGTTTTGATCGTCATTGTGTGCCATTTTTTTCCATTGAATACAAAACTGATCTTACCAAAATATTACAAACTTCTAAATTTAGCCAAACAGTTTTTTTGTGCACAGAACAAAAAAAAAAATAATGAAATATGTTGAAACTAAAGCCTTTATGTGAGCCGGTGATGTTGTTAGAGTTGCTTTCAAATTATATTAAATATTTTTAGGCTATTGTATTTACATATTTTTGTGTACAGCATTCACTATAGCCGTTTAATTCTGAAAGTTTCAAAATCTACACATCTGTCGCGTAAATAATGCTTTAGGTTCTCCTAAGAACTTCTCAAAATAGAACCTAGCTTTTATAGCTTCCGGACAATATGTTAAATGCTCATGGATTTTTAAATTTTCAAAAATGTTTCATAGAAAACTCAAAGAATTTTGAATTATTGAAAATGTATTACCAAATGTTTTTAGTTGTATGCTTTTAAAGATAATTACGCAACTCCGAATATTAATTGTAGAACATATATAAAATATGCAATAATGCATAATTTAAAAAATGCTTTAATTGAAAAATTTTGCGGCATTAACGATCCATCCTTTAAACAGTACCTGTGAATTCTCAAAGAATACATAACTGCTGTGAACATATGATACAACCTACAACATTATGTTGTGTTTTGTATTCGCCAATAATTAAAAGTTTTAAATTCAAATGCAGATTTGCTGTTGCTGTTGTACTATATATCTTAGACTTCGCCGGGTCCAATGGATGGAAAAAAATCGTTGAATATAGGTGTATTTTGTTGGTGTGTTCACTTGGAAGAATAATTTCGAAACATAATAGTAAAACCAAAGAAAATAGCCAAATTTTGTTGTTTATGTATTTTTGTATTTATTGTTGTATTGTTTTTGTTTTTCTCTCATTTAGTTCTTTTGCCGTTTGTTTTTATATTTAACTTATGTAGTAATTGTAATTTAGTTAAGTAACTTAAAACATTAGGTAAACTATGTATGTTTCATTTTGGTATAAATATGTAATATTATTGTGTGGAAATTTTTATTTTATTATAATAAGTGTAAGCTTGTTTGTATTGCTGTTGTAGTGATAGTAGCGCACTTGTTTTAAATGTCGCTTGGGCTTCTATCTCTCATATATTGCTCTAATTGAAGCAATATTTGTTTGTTGTATGTATGTATGTATGCATGCGCATACTCACGTTTGTACTGCTATTAGGTTGCGATTTATTTAATGACTTCATTCTCTGACAGCATTCTATAATTATTTTTTTTAGTTTTGCTTACCAGTAATATATACGAAATTTATGGTTCTTATTGATTTCGTTCTAAATACTAAAGTTTACATATATTTCTCAAAAAAATTTAAATCAATTCAACAACTTAAAGTTTAGCGAGAAATAAATTAACTAAAGAATTAAATTAACTTGAGTACATACTTTTATACTAATGCATTATTATTTGCAGTAATTTTGAATTTAGGAATTTTCGATTTCTTGTCAAATTTTCAAATAATATCGTATATAAATTTTGCCTAAAGTTTCATCCAAACATTTTATGAGTTATAATTTATTTTCTTTTCTTTTGTCTCCTTGACGTTTATTGTTAAAATGCCTTAAAATTTCCTAAAATTTTTTCTTATTATTTTTTTAACATAGTGTTTTCCAAATTTCAATTAACTATTTTTTACAAAAGAATTTTGTATAAACGCCTGGGAGTTGTAATTCAGAATAACTCCGATAGGCGCCTATATTGGTTTGTTCCGAAATAATAATGAGTTCTCCTCGAATTTTTATCACAAAATCAGTTACATTTGTAGTTTTTTCTTTATAATTACGTTTTAAGCCAAAGAATCATATTTCATTTTATTTATGTTATAAATTTAGTAAAGGCATTAACAATTAACGATTGAGATTCGAAATTTGTCACTGCAGCTGCATAAAATAATCTAAAAATAATTATTTTTATCATTAAATTACTCAAACTTAGCATACAAATGAATGATAAATCAAAAACATTACATAATTATATAGTTACTTTCCGAATTACAGTTTTCCAAACAGTGTTGCTATTTATTTCCACATTAACGTTTGAATACTTGTACAAAAATACTTTTACATACAAGGAAACTTACCACGTGCTCAACAATTTTATATAACCTTTGCATACCAATTATCAATTAAAAATACCCTTTCGTTTTTTCTTTTAACTCTGGGTATGACTTAAGCTCCTTTTTTGTTGGCTGCGGTGTATTTGTGTGATCCGACGATTTTACAATACCCGTACATATGAACACAAAAATCCGAAAACTCATTGGATTGTAAATATTAGTCAGATTAAAAATAAAAACTCAACAAAGAATAGAGCTGAAAAGGAATAATCGTTTGTAAATAAATAATTGAACTTTTCAAAGGATTGTAAAAAATTTTAAACTTTTAGAAAAAAATCGATATAAAGATATAAACACTAGCTATTTTTGCTTAGAATCATAAAGATACAATTTTTTATTCTTAGTTGTAGCAATTCTTCCCTGATCTATTTGGTGTCACTTAAATCTAATTATGTAAGTTTTCCTGTCGAAGAAATTGTTTTCTAGGCGGTAACTCTACTTTTCTCCAGATGTGAACAATTAAAAAATAAATTCTAAATATTTTTATTTGTGCGAGCTCTTATTTGAGGTGTGATTTACTACAATATCGGTATTGTATAGAAATATTTTGACTGTTATTGAAAACTCTAGATCGGCACATATTAATTGAATATAAGTTGCTTAAAAGGCCTAGAGTAGAACACAGGAGATCTAGTGAACTACGGGGTTTCTTACTGAACACTGTCTAATAGGCATGCGATAAAGCTAAAATCTTGTCGGAGGGTGGGGTGGAAACATCCATACACTTTCTCCTCCATTGTCCAGTCTTTTCCAGACTGACATTGAAACATCTCGGCAGTTCTAAGCTGTCCAAGTGAAATCCCTTTTCGGATCGAGCTCTTAACCTAACCTAACCAGCTTAAAAGTTAATAAATACTGATATAATTTTGATCGCTCACCCGCTATCCATTAGTCAGTCCTAATTTTATAAGATCGATTATACCTAGTGTAGTTGTAGATGGTCTTAAGCAAATAAATTAAAATGCAAAATAATAGAACACACTGAAAATCATTTTATGTTACATAGTATATTTGGTTTAATCGAATAAATAATAGTTTATACAATATAATGGTTGCTAAATTAAAGGCAAAATTTGAAAACTTAATAATTAAGAAACTTTATAATTAGGTATATACAGCTTAAATATTTTAAACAATCAAAAAAGTGCATTCAACTTAAACTGAATTACATATATTAACTAGTTTAAAATAAAGAAAAGACTAGTGTAGACGTGTACAATGTGATGCCCTATTATTTATAAATACTTAAAATATAGTAATTGTGAGTTTAGGTGTCAATATTGGTGAAAAATTGAATAAAATATTAAAACAATAATAGCACAAGTCGGGAAAATTATACCGAATAAAAGGCCTTTTTTGTAGAAAATAATTTGGATAGTTAAGGAGAAACAGTATTTTAGAACTACTTCGAATGTAGCATTTGAAACTCGTAAAGTTTTTTACAAGAAAGGCCTTTACAATGTTATTGTGAATATTGTAAAAACGTCGGCGTCAATTTGAAAGGATCTTTAATCCTGTATCCTTTTCACACACGACACATTAACATAGCATGCACATACATATCAACATTTCGGCGAGTAAGGAGAGTTTAAATTGTTGTGTTTGTGTATGCTCTTGGCGAGCATGGATTTTTCGTAGTAGCAACTCGGCAGCCATTTTGCGCGATCATTCAATGAAAATGTATAATGTGTGAAGTGAACTACTGAAACTGAACATATGTAATCATAATTCGCTTGATGTTTCTTAGTGAACTGTGATTAGGTACATTTCTTGCGATATTTCGAGTTCCTTGTGTGGATGCGTTAGTATGGGTCGTGGTTGATAAAACTAATAAAATGTTACTTCTAAGTATTATATTACCAATGTATGTATGTATGTACATATATGCTGTTAAATTATTAAGGTTGCCTTCTACAAATGTTATTAAAGTATGTCGGTTCATATATTATATATAGTATGTACATATACTTGTACATGTGCATGGACTGGATGTATATTTGTGTATGTGTGTGTTTTGCAACATGACTTGCAAATAAAACTTAATGACAATATATTTAATAGTAAAATTGATTTAAATCTCAGATTTACGCTTTAAGTTATGGTCCGAATTTATATTTTGGCCCTTTCTAGCAGTTGCAGTTTACACTGTTGTGGTTATAGCTGATGTAATATTGTAGATATATGTGTGCGTTTTCTGTTTTGATTTTTGTGGTGTCTATTTAAGAATGAATTCAGTGGTCCTCAATACCCGATTTACATCACATAAGGCAATTGTTTTGCTATAATTATATGTCTATGTTGAAGGGTTTATGCTAGTGTAGTAAGTAATGCATATGCACACTTATGTATTGGGAGGCGTGTGTATTCTTTTATTGCTGAAGCTGTAGTTGCATTCTTCGAAGTGAAGAAATTGAATGCATCGTTAAATAATTGTGTGTTTCCATGTTTGATCATAAAATAAAGCTGGAATTTTTTGTTGCTCATCATGCCGAAGTGATTTGCAAAATACCCAACAATCGTTAATAATTAGAACCTTTCGTTTGCTTTTATCAATCTCTTACTTTGCCTATTTCAGTTTTGTGAACGCAATTCGCGTTGCGAGAAAAAATTCGAGAGTTAAGAAAATAATAAATATTTGTGAAGTTTACTTTAGGATTTGCTTGCAGCATCTTGTTAAGTTACCTTCATCGTATTGTCGAAATATTTTGGTTATATTCGTCAAAATTTGTTCGTTCGAAATTTCATTATTACCTGTGCGACCACACGTTCACATATTTTGCGTTTCAATTGGAACAACATCATTATATGAATATAACATATTTTTTCGCATTTTTTAAAAGCCTAAATGCAATCGTATAGTATCGATTTGTTTTGTCGTCAATTTTAATACTTAGTGTGTTACTGGTTTCTAAATTGCCGTCATGTTCAAATTTCGCGCAATGGTTTTCGTATATCCATATAGAAATATTTATACATAATTATGGTGTGGAAATCAAAACTAATCGGTTGAACTTAATTTATACTTGTCAAATTTTGTTGGTATGCTGTGCCTACAGCTATGCTGGTTACACTTGTTGAGGCATTAGCTGGCGTAACTGTAACTGCGTTTGTGGCAAACGTTGTCATTGGTTCGGTTGTTGCATGCACAGTTGCGGCAGCTGCTGTTGCAAGCGTTGCTGTTGTTATGATTCCTGTCGTTAAAACTTTCGAAGATTTATTTGATTTAGATTTGCGTTTTAAATTTGTACGAAGCATGTGAATAACGCGATTGCGTTCACTTTCCTCTTATTCCAATTGTTCCAAAAAGTTAGGAGATTTGAAATATTCGGGCACTGCATCGTCCATGCGAGATATAACTTTATAGATTGCCTTCTTCCACGATTGTTCGGTATCTTTGCCACCCTGAATGGCGCGAAAGAATTCGCGCAGCGTTTGTTCTATCACAAAGCGGAAGTTTTGTGGTACCTTTACAAAACAACACAAAATATTATTAACTATTTTCAAGGTATTGAGATATTTAACAATTTTTTTTTCTAATATATACAAGTAGTTATTTGGTCTTATTTATTTAAGTATATGTACCTCAATGTGATTGTTGCGGTTGTAATGTAAGTTCAGAACACGATACAACTCACTGTCCCCGCCAACATGAAGCTCATCGGCGCACTTAACACCCTCTGTAACCGCCTGGCGCGCATACTTCTCCATTTGGATATAGTAGAATTCTCTGCAAATGTTAAATTTGTTATAAAAAATGTGTTTCAACGAAATTTAATTATATTCTTTTTATTAATTGACAAAAATTAAAGGTATTTTATTATAAAACAAGAAAGGAAGGGCTAAGTTCGAATTAACCGCACATTTTATACTCTCGCAATTTGCACGGTTCACAGCGGAAAGCATTTTTGCATATATAGACAAAATTTCATATAAAAAAATATTGGGAAAGAATTGTAGACTCACTTAGTTTCATTTCGCTTCATGTCTCAGATATTTATATTAAAATCAACCGCAACTGATATACATATGTGAGATATAAACCAAAGAGGCTAAAGTTAATAAATTTTCATTTGGGGAAAACGTTATACAGATGATTTCCGGTCCATCAGTATATTAGGGATATAAGGTTTCATTTACATTCAGCGTTAAACCCCATTCATTTTAAGAAAACTTGACCATCTAATTTCATTAAAATGTCGCACATGTTGATCACTATTAACGGTTTAAAGTCAGGTGAAAATTCAAAATTATTATATATATCAAAATTGCTATATCTCATAGATGAACTGATATTTTTGGTAAATGTCATAGTCCGATTTTGACAATTCTTATTCTTGAGATAGCTATTTAACTATTTGTGCAAAGTTTTATACCGATTATTTAACGTAAGAATATGGAAATGATGTTATGCACCAACCTTCGAAATAGGTCAAATAGCTACTAAGGTATAAAATTTCACCTAAAGGTGGGCGGTACCACGTCCATTGTTTAATTTTGACACCTGCTCCCATAAAGCACGTTTGAATTATGTAGAATGTGTGTTTCTGCAACAACATTTACATATTTAGCTAATCTATGAAAGTTTCAAGCGCTCGAAGACCTGCATTAGGGGCCGATAGCTGAGCTTAAGCAACACTTTGTAAGTACTTATAGTAAGTTATTTCAATTTAATAATATTATCATTGAGTTAGTTTTATGTAGCTTAACTATCTCTTTACATAAATACACAATTCCTAACTGCCTATTTTTTAGTTTCTGTGGCGGCTTGAGAGAAAAACTGTTTTCTGACGACCGCAGCGTCAGCTTGGCCGTCCATCGTCCTTTTATATACGTTATATACACGAGAGTATATAAATATACTGGCTATATCGAAGACAGTGCAGCAGTCGTCGGAGTAACAACAACAGCGGCAATTTAGTCAATTTTGCCTCAGGGGAATTTGTGCGAACAATCGTCGCGAAGCTGGTTTTAATATGACATCGAAGCTGTCAGAAGTATTGTACTAGCAGTATTGCACACACACACACACACACACATACCAACATACATAGAAAAGCAATAGCAGTAAGCGCAGCGCTTGCGATTGCTACTTGCCAATGCGCGATTTTGATATTTATTGTTTGGAAAAGTTGGCACTGTCAGTTGTTATCCAGAGCCCTTTCCATGCGGCCGTTTGCAGTGTTTTCATATCCGTTTCTGCTGCAATAACTTGAGCTGTTTGCACCAGTCGTTGTCGTCATAATGAAAGAAGAGCGAGAGCTTTGGGAAATCTTGAAATTAGCGCGATTATCAAACGAGTCAACACAACAGTGCAACGGCAGAACAAAAGGATACACAAATGTGCGCCACACTCGTAAGTGAGGAGGTGCAACGTTCAGCGCCAACAGCTCGGAATTGTTGTGAAATGTTGACAATTATAGGAGACACATTGCATACAATTGAAATGTCAACGAGCAAGGCGTACAAGGCAAGGGGTGAAAATTTGTGGCATGAGCATGGCTGCGCTTTGGGAGGAGAAAATTATAAAGAAATGACATTTCGAGATTTTCGAACAACTATTTGAAAGAACTGGTTGTAATCAGCTTATAGATTTCGAATAGAAAGCCCTAAATTAAATGGCAAGATATTTTCCAATATTCTTTTCGAATGTTTGGACATATTGCTAGTAAAATATGTGTTCCTTAAAGACATTTCATATTGTACTTACAGAAAATGGATTATTATTGCGTAGTGAATACCAGTATTCCGTCCATGGCTTTTCGCTGCAATAACTTTGAATGCACAGATTGAACATTTCAATTACTTGATTGCAGTTGCATAGCGCCGCTGCTGTAACTATCTATCTTTTAATTCTCTAATTGCTAGAAGGCAATACATTTGTATATTGTATAATATCCCAGGTGCCTCCTCAAACATTCTTCACGTTTATCTGTGGCAAAGAAGAATTGCTGTTCTCAACAACAGCAGCGAGTTCTTCGAGACTCATTAAAGCTCCCCACAAGCCCAAGTGAATATCAATCGTAAAGCTTTTGCTAATTAAAGCCTTTCCCTCAACTAAACCCAGCAGCCAACAGCATTGCATTTCAATGCTTCGGCTTTGTATACATAAAAGATAAAAAGAAGAATAAAAAATTGTAAATGCAAATATTTCTGCCGCCAACTTCAGTGCAGCTATGCTCATCATCAATGATTACGTTGCCATGCATGTGCAAATCCTAAAGCAAATTTCTGGGGAATGGGCGGGGCATAGTCGAGCATCTAAGTAGTGGATGTGTTCCCCAGAAGATTGACTTATGCTCATTTGAGAATTATTAAAAATTATTTGCAACAAACCAACCAAACGGCCCAACAATGCGCTTATAAAGCAAGTATTCCAGATTTGTTCTCTTGCAACAAGCTTACACCTAAGCTCAGCCAGGCGTTACGTCGGATGCAACATTATAACTGCGTGCTATGTAAGTATGTGTGTCACAGCAAGGCTAAGATTCTTTTGTTGAAGCTCTTTGAAAAAGCCTTTGTGTGCGCAATGCGACCGAGCCTACAAGTGTGCTGCAAATTATTAATAACGTCGCATTATAATCATCCAATAATGCATTAAGATCATGTGCACACAATTAAAAAAACCGCACAAGCGAAAATAAATTCGTGGAAAGATAATTGGAAATTCTTATAATAAGCAGATATTGAGAGAATAGCCTCTTCTGAATAAAAAATTAGCAATATATAGCTTATAGTGTATTAGAGGCAAATTCTTCTTTTTCGGTATGAAGCGTATCGATTTCGAAACTAGTAAGTTATAAAGCCGTTCAAATATTGTTAATATTATTTTTTATTGCTCAATCGTTTAAGTTACAAAAACACTTTCCGAAGTAAGAGTAAAAATTTCGATTGAAAGAAATGTGAAAAAATAGCAAAATAAGTCTGCGGATAATAGATATTTCCGCGAGTAATGCCGCTTGCGAAGGAGTCATCAGTATGGCAGGTGTATATATGTACATACATATTTACTCCAATGTGACACTTGAGATCATTCAGAATTGACTCAAGCTATTGTGAACCAGTAGACAACGGCTAAATGAAGAAAAGTGGATATTTTACCACTAAACTGAACACTCAGTGCTGTTAAGTGGAGCAGAAAATAAAAGGTGAGCTTCTCAAGCGGCAAGTATAGACCCTAGCTGCTTGATAGTAATATATGGAAGACAAACATACATACATATGTACAGCGCCTACTTTATATATTTTAGCACATTTATGTCTGTGTATGTAGGTGAAAAATATGAAGTGTTTTTTATTCTTTATGCAATTTTGAAAGCAAGAAGTGCACTTTTAGGCGCACATACTCATATCTACTATTATTCAATTTCCCTACCGCCAAATACACACACACATATGTATGTATAAAAAGCCCATTAGCACAATGCATAGGCATAGTAGCTGAGGAAGTGCGGCATTGTTGTGGCAATGCAAGCCAACAACGTAAAGTAGGCACTCCATTAAAAAGACAAACACAGGCACACAAAAGCACACAACACTCACGATTACATTAAGATAGAATGTGTGAAAAAAATGACGAAGGACCTGCTGCTGTGTGTAGAGGCGCACATAAGGAGCCGTAATTGCGATATTTTTGTTTTAATTAAAAAGAAATTTCACAGGGAGCAAACACTGAAGTGCTCCTACAAAATAAACAAAAAAACGCAAAGAAATGAAATCGACGTAAAATATGGTATGTGTAGGTATGTGTGTGTGTGTGTAGAAATGTTTACAGTTACTTTTGTGTTTGTTGTATTTGCTTATGAGTGTGTGATGATGACATAAGGATGACTAAAATAGTGAGTGGTAGTGTAATTTAATTATAAAAAAATATTATAAATGTTGCACAGAAGCTAATTAGTTTATTCAAGATGTCGGAATAGAAGAGGTGCTATAAGTGAGCAAAGCGAAAAGTTCACATTATACGGCAATACGGCAAAATCGGCATCCTATGTGCAATTGACTCGCGTTGGTAAACCAAAACTTGGTACGAATGAAGATTTTGCGCTCTGAGAGCGATTAGGTAGTGAAATGGCACTCAAAGTCACAAATTAAAAGTGCCCATTTGCTCTGCATCAACCTAAAAGCGGAAACGTGTGTGGGCGCGGGTGTGCAAGTGCTCAAGGATACTCGTTGGAATGAAAGGAACTCAATAGCTTTTCAAGAAAAACTCGCCAACCACAAACAGGCGAGCTAATACAAAATCTTTTCTACACAGATGCTGTAGTGCATACGTATAATGTTATGCCATGCACATAAAAGTAGCCACCGCTACTCAATTCTTCATATGATAAACCATAAATTTACAGTGTTCACACAATTTTGTATTGCATATGAGACGTATTTCGTTATACCCACAGCAGGAACTAATTAGAATACTGAAGTACAACAAGCTTTGATACCTAATGACTGTTTGTAACCAGGGTTGCAAATAATGCATTAAATAGACAATTGAATTAACATTTAAAACATTTTTTTTATTTTGTAATCTAGATCTTTTTCAATGAAAAATAATTTCAAATTCAAATTACGTGATTCAAAAATTAAAAAAAAAATATTTGGATTAAAAATATAAAAGGAAAATTTTGATCCTAAAAACCGGATTGAAAAAAATGTTAATAAGAAATCTATAAGTAAAAAAAATGTTTCATTGAATTCTAATTTACTTCGCTTACTTCTTTTGTCTTATTTACATAAAAGTAAGTATATATTTTATTTTTAATGTTTTTTAATTTGAAATATATTTGTTTTTTTTTTCTCAAAATTGCAAATTCCAATATTTTTGGTCAGTTTCTACTTCAGGTTTTGCTGGACAAATCTCGTGACTTTAATGCTAAAGACAGACATATGGTTTCCATACTACAATATATATTACAATAAAGTTGAGAAAACCATGTCCGAGCCTAGTGACACACATATGGTATTCTTAAGTTTGACACTCGACAGCTGATGCAAAAAAATGAAAATCAATTAAAAGAAAATTAATATCAAGAAGGCAAATGAAGCTAAATTGCTTATAACTGCAGAGAGCCTTATTACCTGAGGGGGAAAAGAATATATTTTAATCTACCTCTACGGGCATTAAAAAGGACCAAGCAATATGAAATATCTAGAAAAGGTTTTGCAACAAATTTTTCCCATTTTTTTTTTAATTTTTTCGCTTATTTCAATTCTTAATTAATTTTTTACATGTAAAAGTCACAGAAAATACATAATTTTGGTAATAGAGCTTTGTTCAGTGCAATCCATCGTAGTACTTTACACAACACCACATAATTTCAATGGATACTTGTAGTACAGAACTCCACTTGCTGTGGAACAAAAATTCAAAATACGGTTAACACACATATGGTTTCTGTAGCATACTACAATATGTACTATATGTCTGTCTGGGGCATAATAATTAGGTACAAACATATATTTGACGACCGTCAGATTTTGAAAGTAAAAAGTCGAAAGTGTGAAAAAGATGACCGCGCCTTCTTTTCACATAACGTAATTTTTATGTATTTCTGTTCATTTTGTACTCAATCAATAATTGAAATTTGGAAATGAATTTTCGGTCGCGCCCGAGCACACACTTTCCTTATTATTAAAAGTTTTTTTTTTATTATATTCTAGCTTTTTTCCAAATTTGAGGTTAAGTGCACTTTTGGCTTAGGTTGCGTGAAAATATGATGACTTGGCTTAACTGCAATAGGTTGACACTCTTCCATGCAGTAGAATGCAAAGAAAGCGAAAAAACACACACCAGAAAAGCTGAATGGGAAAAGTGTTGCCAATTACTTCAATATAATCGCACACTTGCTGCATGTTGCACGTGTATATGTGCACAGCTGGGAGGAGTGTAAGAAACGGATTACCGTTAGGAAAAGGTGTTTTTTCGCCCAGAGGTTAAAGTTTTAAATGGTGTCATCATGATACTCACGCAAATAAGCTGGTTGAGGACGACTGATACAATCAGACAACCAGACAGTATGAATACAGAAGAGGTCTGTAAGGCAGTGGAAAAAAATTGCACATGAGCTTATCAATAAAGCACTGCTCTTACAATTGTAATACGTGCGTATGATAGCGGATGATAAGAGAGTAAATGTTGTTCATAAAAAAATTAAATGAAATCTGGAACTATGTAAATTTCAAAACCGAAGGAGAATAATTTTATATACTTGTAATGAACAAAACATCAAGTACTATATAGGAAACCCTTCAGAAATATTCGAAAATTGCATAATGACAAGGGTTGCTAATAATATTGATATATTTGGGTTAGTCTTTAGTAATACAAAAGAAATGGCTGGCGCTAATAAAAATATGTATAAATTATAATGAAAATTATATAAAAAATATATATGGTATAACTATATAAAATAAATTGTATCATTTTATATCCTTGTTTAATAATAAAAAAATTAACACCTATGCATTATTTTTCCTTTATTCTTGGTAATTCTGTAGTGGCATTCTTTAATTTAATATGTGCAGGAACTCGCTAATTATTTCCACGGAAGTCAAATGCAACTTTGTGCCAATTCACGTGTCAAAAGCATTGAGGGTGTAATTTAATTGCCTTTGTAATCATTTAACCATTTTAGATTAATATACCTATTTACACACATACAAGCCCATATATGCCTATAGAATTCGAAATAACTCATTATAGTTCCTTTAGGTAAAGGATGTAATTCGGTTGACGCTGTGCGGCAGACTCATTGATTTCCTTCCGCACTACCACCTACCTACAGTCAGCCTATCACCTCTTAATTGTCATTTTTCAGCTGCAAGCTGTCGCAATATGTTCGCTGTGGCAAGTGGGGGCCATTATCAGGTGCTAGATGATACTGAAATGCGAATGGCGTTAAGTGTGCAGCGGGATGACGGCGGAGTTTTTTTTATGAAATTAGCTTTTTCATTGTCATATTCTTATGCATCTTTAAAATAAAAATTATAAAAATTGGTGTGGAATCCATTTAAAAAAAACTTTTAATTATAGTACTCTTTGCGCTAACAATTATAGCTTTAAATATGTGTCTATGTGGAATTCATTAAATATCGACAGAAGAATTGGTAACTGGCCAAAGTCTGTTACTAAATATTTCTTTCAAAAACAAAAATTCCACCGAATTCCGTATGGTATAGACATATGGTACACACTTTGTCTTATTATTTAAGTACATTTTCTATTTTCGCTTGATCATTAACAAATTTTCTACAGCCATAGCGGTTTTGGTTGCACCAAAATTCAAATGACCGTTACATTTTCACCCTTGTGGCAAAATTAACGGCACTTATTATATTACTCCTAACAATAGTATACTTTTTTCTAACTGTTGATCGAGCGTCGCGGAGAAACCAACCAAAAAGATATTCCCACCCATTTTAACGTTTAAGTCAAAGGCGGTATAAAGAGTCAAACGAAGGTGCGGGTAATGCAATGCCTGGCCACAACAGTAATTAAAAAAAAAAATCAACAAAATCAAGAAAAATGCTTTAGCGTCAAAAACAAATTATAACGTCTGTTGTGACTTACCGGGCCAACCCCTAAAAGGGGAGAGCATTATGAATTTCAACTCTCAATTGCATTTCCTTGGGATAACCCTTAAGTCGACGCCGAGAAATGCAGATAAACTAGAGAAAAAAAATAAAGACAGAAATTCACATAAAGAAGTACTTATTCTTAGCGTTGTGAGCAATTTGGTAAACGCTCTAGCACACACACACAATCAGCATGACAAAGAAACAAAAACTCGAAGACGTTTCAGCTGAGCCTTCTTGCGCGCGAGTAAAATCCCTTAAAAACGACGTTTTGATTTTTCTTAAAGGCAAAAAGGGACTCTTGTGCGCCTTTGTTTGCATTTCTTAAGACGTTGTGCGAATAGCTACACTATTTCTTCAGTTTCAGCTGCCTTGGATGCATGCATTGTCGTACATTACTACCGGTTCAGGGGTTGTTCGTTCTTATTGCCACGGCCAGGTGAACTATTGTTCGTAATCGTCTACTGCGCCGAACAGATGTTCGCTTTTCACGGCATTCTCAAGCAGCCGGTAAAAAGCACGAGCCTGTTTGGCGCGCTTTCCTACTCAGCGTTTTCTCTGGCCTGCTGCATTGTGTACTGCAATTGCCAGCACCACGAGCATACCTATGTGCAATATCCGTCAGTTAGCTGACAGCTAGCAGTAAATTTTGTGTGTACCTTTTTCGTTTGACTGCCGTCGTTGTTTAAAGACGGCTGTGTGTGAATATATACGAGAATGTACATATGTACATATTTTCATATATGTATGCGCGCTTGTTCATAAATACTCACGCATGTGCATTTTATGATTGGGTGCCTAATCTTATATTATTTCTTCTGCTGCCTTCGTTTTGGCTTCGCAGAGTGAATGGTAGCATGCAAATCGCAAGAGACCGTTTTTGTCGAATTGGTGTCAGTTGGACTTTCCCGAAAGTATGCGGGCCTACCTACACACATACTTACATAAGTGTATCAATGTATGTACATACAGTAAGGTGGAATGGTATAATGACCTCATGCTTATGCCATCAGTTTAATTCCTATCTGAAGTATTTTGGAATTAAGCCTGCTCGTTGAGGGGAAGTGCCGAATGCCAACCAATTTAAGGTAATAGTTGCATGATGTGATAGTATGGTAATGCCAAAATAACGCTAGTGTGGTAAGTTATGGAAATTTTCTAGACATTTTCATACATATGTATATATGTATATGATATGCGTGCTGCTATTATTTACATACATACATACATATGTGAACAGTTGAAATGTTCGAAATGAAATTGTCTCTCATTGACAGCTTAGAAATGTCGACAGTGTTTTTAGATATTATATGCAGTCAATTACTATATGACATTTAAAAAATTTTGTTCCTTAACTTTTTCGTTGGTTATAAAAAAAAGATCTAGTAAAAATAGATATGTACTAAAATGTAAAATATCAGAGCTTAAATAAATTCATATTGTAGAAATTTCTCCTAATGGCGGTTGAAAGAGAAAAATTAGCAAAAATATTAAAATATTTGAATCATAACATCATTCGTGGCTGAAATGCTGATATTCTAGGAACATTTAAATATTATATACAGTGTAACTAATTTAGTATGTATGGCATAAACTAATATTCTATTATGCTCTAACACAAATGAATACGCGGTGTGTTCAAAAAATAACGGTAATTTTGTCGTTTCAAATAGTCCGCATCTTGTAAAACGACGGCCCTTTAAGGTTTTTTTCATTTTTAAAAATAGGAAAAGGCACATGAAACCATTTCTGGCGAATATAGATGCTGGGGCATCGTTACAGTATTCTTTTTGGTCAAGAATTCCGGAACAAGCAACGATTGGTGAGCTTTTAACAAACGAACATTTAAAAAAAACGTCTAACCTTACCGGCTGTTACAGACAAAGTATGCAATGAATACATCTGAAAATTACTTGTATAACGTACTTCAGGGGCATGCATGTTAACATAATATAAAAAAATTCAAAATTGGACTCTCCAAACCCGTGAAAATTTGAATTTTAAAAGTCCCGTTGTTTTCTGAACTACTTAGCGTATATGAAGAAAAACTAATTTTAAAATAAAAAGAAAAAACATTTCACTTACCGGAAATTCGAGAACCATTTCACCAATTGTGCTGTGTTGTTCTTGTTGAATTTGATGTCTGGGAAGTACATCTTCAGTACTGCTGAACTGGGGTAGCGAACCCAGAAGAACATTAACTTTGCCTTGCGCAGGTGCATTGGTGTTAGTGTTGACGAGTGCAGTGGAGTCAAGGAGTCGCTATTTTTGCTAAATTTACATGTGAAAACATTCACAATTAATTTTTTGTGGAATGAACGGGAGAAGATGAAAATAATATAAGATTTAATATAGGGGTAAAGAAATTTGAGAATAATAAAAGTGCTGACACGGTGCAGAGTGTCTGAGAAGCATTTGTCAATATAACCTAAATATAACTGAAACCGCAAGTGATTTTACTTAAGCGCTTCCGTTATGCGAGTATGTACGTACAATTGTATATATTACTTTTTTATTTTCTGTATTTCTTTGTTTACGGGTAAGTGGCTTTTGTCGAAACGGAGTTAGCCCTGATTAAAGCTTCGTCTAGGTGCTCAGTAGGGCGGCAAGACAATGTGGCGTGTGAGACGCAGTGCACTTGCATTAAGTTTCGCAAATACTTAAGATTAATTGGGGTTGCTGCAATCAGGTTGTTTTAGACTTTGGTTTTGATTACACATTTCTTTTTAAATGAACTTATTTAGGTTGCAGTGTTGCATTGTTATATATAGACACCGACACTTGATTGGTTTCTTTTTGTTGAATTGATTTACCGTTTCTTTGGTATTAAGAGGTAATTAGTGACAAAGCTTAAGAAAAAGCAGCAAGCGATATAAAGATTCAACCAACTAAGTTAGCACAACTGACTGTGTACAATTTATAGGCATTTTGTATCAGAGAGGATTACTTTCAAATATATGTATGAGAATAGTATAAAAATAATTAAGTACTTACATCATTTGCTGCTTCAGAAATGATATTGTAGGCTGCATTCCATCGAACTGCATATCAGCGGAATTACAGTCCGAATTGCGGTCTTGTGCATCCATGGCTGCACGTAGATGAGCGCTGTAGTCGGGAGAGCCGCCGTGGTGTGCAGCAGCTAATAGGGCAGGATGCAGCATGGAGGGCGGATGAGGCAGCGGCGGTGATTCGCGCGAGTCCATTAGACCGCCAAGGTTGGGTGGGCTGGATGACATCTTCATGTGGTGCATTTGGGCAGCTGTTGGCGTGTTGTGGGCACCACTGTGTGGACCATGCGGGGGTGGTGGTGGCGCATGTGGCGGGTGAGGATTGAAGAATGGACTGTAGGGTGAGAAGACTTGCGACTCGTGCAACGATGGATTAGGAATTGCCACAGAAGTGGGCAATGACACGGGCAACATGGGTGGTGGTGGTGGCGGCGGATGATAGCTGGGCGCTTGAGCACGTGGCGAAGGACTTTGTGCAGGCGTCGTATTATTATTGCCGATATTGCCGAGACTGCCGGTGGTATTCACGTTGACTGGCGTGACATTGGCGCTATTGCTGCCAATGTTTGGCGCATTACAATTTGTTTGGTTCGCATTGGGCTGTTGTTGTTGGTTGGGTTGACCGCCCATGGGTACGAACTTGCTTCCGCCATCTAACATGCTGTTGGCAGTTACAGAATTCGAAGGTACACCACCATCCTGGGCAAGTATGCGGCTGACTGTCCGTGGTGTAATTCGGGTGTCTGTTACCTTATGTCGCTTCTTCTTTGGCGTTACAACCAAGCTAAGGGCCTCGTTTTGCTCTAGTTGTTGTTGTTGCTGCTGTTGCTGCTGCTGTTGTTGTTGCTGTTGTTGTTGCTGCTGTTGTTGTTGCTGTTGCTGTACGTCACGAGCCTCTGGCATACAGAAGGGATTCATTTGGTTAGGGCCGCCGGTGGTCATAGAATTGTAAAGTGCAGCTGCAGCGACCGGATTCATTCCTTGCGGTGTCTTTGGTGCCTGAAATATTGCTGCCGCTGTGGGCGAAGGACGTATATGAGGAGGTGGAATATTAATTGTACTTAAACTATTGTTAGTATTATTTGTATTTGGATTCGAATTCATGTTGATACTCTGATTCATTTGGCTATGACCAGAACTATCGTTTGCGATCTGCTGGTTATGGTTTTGCTGATTAGCAGCGGCTGCGGTCATTGCAGCTGCAGCTGCTGCATGATGCATTTGCAAGCCCATTGCTGCAGCTGCTGCCGCAGCCGGCGACGGAAACGACAACTGATTGCCATTTAGACGTGGGGCGGCGATGAGGCTTTGACAATTTTGCGCATTCAACGCTGACATTTGAGCTATTTGCTGCGCATGTTGCGCATTTGTCTGCCCACTTGAGGACGCCATGACGTTTGCTTGGCTATTTGTAAGCGGGTGTTGAGGAATCGTCACACCACCTACTGATACTGCGGGCCCAGGTCCAACATGCATTTGAGGACTGTTACTTACAGTAGACTGCAAGTGACCAAGATGATTTGTGGACACATTACCATTTGGACCATTACTTAATTGGTTAGTTGAGGAGGTATTATTAACTAGTAGAAGAGAACCATTATTACCTGATTGGACTGATGAAGCATTCACAGCACTTCCGCTGACAACAGGCTGTCCTGACGCTGAATTAGAGATATTTGAATTATTGTTTATGATTGCATTAGAGTGTGAACGATCTGCAACTTTAGTTCGTGGCGACTTGCGATCGAGTATTTGGGATGCCATAAGCAAGTCCTTGTTAAGTTGTTCAGCAGCTGCAGCTACTGAATCCGATTGTTTGCTAAACAGGCGACGTTGGTGAACAAATCGTGTGACGATCGTGTCAACCAATGCTGAGAGTGAAGTGGTTATTTCTGATTTTAATACATCAGCAAGTCCTTCCAGATCGGATCCGGACATACGCATAATCGAATTAGAACTGGATCTCAACATATTGAATTTTTCTGACAGTTCGGATTTGAGAGAGGAGTGGTTGGCATGACGTTGGTGAAGCCGATTGTGGTGTAGCTGTGAGCGGGTTGTTTGGTTTATAGAGACAGTCGGTGTAGTTTGCTCCTGATGCTGTTGTTGCAACTGTTGTAATTGATGTTGTCGCTGAAGTTGTTGTGCAGCTTGCTGCTGGGCCTGTTGCTGTTGTTGTTGTTGTTTCTCTTCCTTACGACGTTGCTGTTGTTCCTGTTCAAATCGCCTTTGTTGCTCTTGCTCTTGCTGTTGCTGTTGCTGTTGTTGTTGCAGTTGATGCTGTTGTTGTTGTTGTTGTTGTTGTCTTTCTTGCTGCTCAGCAGCTTCCTTTGCCATACGAGCTTCCTGCTCGAAGAGGAACTGTTGCCCCAGGTACATAGCGGCAGCATTACTTATGGCAGGATGAGACAAATGGGCAGTTCCGGCGTCGCCTTGCATTTGTGGCATATGCTGCAGCAATGGCAATGGACCGCTAAATGACTGCTGCATATGTGGATGCCCTACGAGTGATCGAGATGACATCATTTTGCTCATCATTTGTGATAGCACATTAGGGGCGTTATCTAGAGCTATGGAATTTTGTGAGGATAACTGCTTACGAGATTTTATAGGTAAATTGGGTGAAGTAGAGCTCGGCCGATCTCCGTCCGTTTGAATTTTATCATTTAAGCCCGATTCGCCCGTCAATGATGGCGATGGTGAGAGATCCCCTCCATTGTCATCTTGTTCCATACTATCACTTGCTGTATCGTCAATGTCCTGACATTCTGACTCTTGCTCCATTCTTGAACATAATTGCACATACTTTTGCTGCATTTCAGCCAGTTGCTCTTGCATTGAACGCAACTGTGACTTTAGAGCGTTTTTCTCCACACGCTTTTGCTGAATCTGGGGTGACTCCATTTCATTGGATGCTTCTTCATCCAACATCATACTTTGTAAGTTTAAACCGAAATTCAAACCTGCAGCAGCAGCTACATATCGTTCCATTGCATGTTGTTGTGGTTGATATAGTTTTCGTTTCTTACAACCGTTAACTTGCAAGTGCGCCTGATGAGACGATGGACTAGAACGCATTGTGGTAACAATGTTCTCGACTCTAGCTCTTTTCATATCCATTCCTGGTTTTTTGGACATCGTAGCAGCTACATCCTTTTCAAGTTCCTCTTCTAACTCATCCTTGCTGTTCTCTAAGAGCATCATCTCAGATTGGCTAGGTGAGGCTAGTGACTCTAAATCGGAACGCGAATTCAGACCCATTAATTCTACATCTTCTAGGATGTCATCAGCTTCCTTTTTAGTTACTCCCACCGATAGGTTTGAATGCGGTTGTTCATCCTGTTCATCCATGTGCTGCTGATCCATGTTATCACCCTCAGACTGTTGGTCTTCATCCTGCTGAGAATCGGCAACCTCAGAATCAGATGACTTCCTACGTTCTGCAGTCGCAGAGTCAGAATTATTTGGCAACTGATTGGGTTCGCACTTAATTTTAATGTCGGACATGGTGTCCTCCAATAGATTGATTACATTATTCGATTCTTTATCTTCCAAATTATTGTTATTATTAGCGGACAAATTATTATTATTATGCTTTAGCGTGGTCTGATTTTCTGCTAGCTGTTGTTGTTGTTGATTCATCACTGATCGTAGCTCTTGATCGAGTTGCATGAGCTCTTTCTTACCTTGCAAAATATTTCTTAGCATATGGTGAGCTAACTCATTCTGTTGTTGTTGTTGAACATTTGGTGAATTTCTTTCAGAAGAATTCACCGCTCCCAGTGCTACAGATGTGGAGCTGACAGAAGGAGCACGCGGTGGCGAACACAAATCACCAGCTCGCGAGTTCACTTCATCCAAAGATCGATCACTACAATTGCTCACTCGTCGGTTTTTGGGCGATTGAGAGGCAGATGTGTTATTCAACGATTGCTGATTATCAGCAATGGCATTGCCGTTATTTAGTGCGGACGTTGCAGATGCACTAGCATTGCTTAAACTATTCAAACTGTTTATGGTATTATTATTGAGCAATTTACTGGTGGCATTGAGGCCTAAGCTATTCACCAATCCTGCTGCACTCAACAGTTCAGCGCTAGTGGCCGATTCCATTGCCGCGGCTAACATGGCGTTGTCTAAAGTAGCGGGTAATCCGCTAGTAGCATCCTGTGCTTGCTTCATTTGTCGGCCGAATAACTCATTCAACATTTTTGCTGAACCGAAACCGTTTGCTGTAAAGAGGCTGCCAAGAGCCGCTGTAAAATTACCGGACAGCAACGATGCTGTTGGCGATGAGGAAGCGGATACGGAAGCGTTTGCACTGTTATGTGGATTGTTGTTACTAGCAGTAGCGTTGCTGTTGTTAAGCGTGTTATTGGACGACGAAGTTGTCTGATTCAATAAGGCTCCATAGAGAGCTCCTCCAGCAGCGCCCGCAACAGCCGCAGCAGCACTACTCATGAAGGCAGTCGCTGTTGGCGGCAAAAGCGGTGATGACGGCGTTGGCGAAACCGACAAAGGCAATGACAACGGCGTTGGACTCGTATTATCTTGGAACCCCGAAAATAATTTCGATTCTAGACCTAAAACACTATTACCGTTTACGTTTATTTTATTAGCACTGACACAGTTATTACTACTATTCACGGTATTCGAACTGTTACTGTTCTTATTAACAAGATATTCACTTGATGACGATAAGGACGTGTTCTTTTTATTTGATTTCGACGATGATATTACTACAGATGTTGACTTGGAGCGTAATGCTAAGTTAGCGGTGCACGTTATTGTCTTGTTGACGGCACCACACGGACTACTTTCGTTTGCTCGCTCAGTGACATGCACGACTTGCACGACTTGTTGTTTGCCACCACCGCTGCCGCTGCCGCTGACACTGCTGCCACTGCGACTTCGACTACGACTACGGCTGCAGTTACGAAGGCGATTCTGTCTCTGGCTATTAGTGGTGCCCTCGTTGCTGCTTGCGACACCTTCGAGTATGACAACGACGTCGTTATCGTCGTCGTCGTTGTCGTTGTCGCCACCGTTGACGTTGTCGTCTTCGATAAGGTCGTTTTCGTGTATCTCTTCGAGAGCCGTGCTATTGTCAGTTGTGCTGTTAATGCTGTTGATTTTACTTTTATTATTACTACAGACGTTGGCGTTATTACTATTGTTTTTGCGATTTGGGTTGATGTTGTTTTTGGCGCTCTTCGCCGTTTGTAATGGTGGTGTTGGGGGTGGTAATAGTAATGGTGTTTCTTGCTTTACCACACAATCGGTTTCTAATTCTAGTAACGGCGCCGAAGACGAGGACTCCGCCAGTTTGGACAATGATGTTCCTGTGGACGCCTTTAGTAATAACTTATCATCGTTGTACAATCCGAAACACTCTGTGTCCTCTTCCGATGACATCATAAGATGCCAACAGTCTGGGCGAAGCCTTATTCTCTTTCAAAGCTCGCAGTTGTCGCGAGTTTAGCTCTCTCTGCTTTAATGGTCCTACCTAATCAACACACAAACTCTATCTCCAACTCTGTTATGCTTCTCTGACAGCGACTGCCGCTGGTGAATGTAGTCGTTTTCTCCGTTAAGTCGCTGCGTAATGGTTCAGTGCTTCTGCTTTGGCTCGGCTACTTTTGTCGCTGCTGCTACCTTTGCGATGCGTACAACGGCCAAACATTCACCACTCACAAACACAAACAAAGTAAACGACGGCGCTGGCAATCTCTAGTATGTATGTGTGCGTACGTGGATCGTCTATTGGCTCGCTAAGTTTTTGCCTTCCTTTCACACAGAAGTTTTTCTTGTTTGCTTTTGTTGTAGAATTTACTTTATAACTTATGTGAACTGTAAACAGACAATTACCAACACTAATGCACGGTGCTCACACTCCCACAATAGATTTACACTAAAGTCTACAACAGCCACTGTCGCTGCATTCGCTCAGGGTTCTGTTCGGTTTTGTTTTGGTTTGGATTGGGCTAGAGATTCAATACTTTGCCACTGTACGTGTTCTTGGTATCGTCGATATTCGTTGTTCGATGCTTTTGTTGCTGTTGTGTTACTATTGCTCTTGTTGCTTGGAAATGTTTAAGTTGGATTGGCTCGGGCTCAGATAAGAACTCACACATATGCAACTAAAGAGTCCAGGTTGAATTGTTCTTTTAATAGCGTCGCTTTCCGTTTTGCTGCTATACGTCTAAATTGTTCTATTGGATTTGGTGTCTTGTGCAAGTATTCTAAATTTGCCACGCTCTCAGGGGCGAGTACTTATTGAAATGTCGTTTTTATACCCTAGCACACTGTGGTGCACCAGGGTTTTACTTAAGTATTTGAGTTCCCAATAAATGATATAAAGGTTCTGCAAATATCGGCAATCCAATCGCTTTGAACCTATACGTTTAATTAATTTGTTAATAATAAAGTTGTTCGTTTTATTCGATGCCTTTTTGATAAAAACCTCAATCAATATTTTAATGTTGTTTCATGCAAAATGTCTACTTGGTTTCTTATCCCTTTCCGTTCATTCATTGGTGTTTGCTTTAATACTTGTGTATCTTATTCTTCTTCTTGAACGTGTTTGATGTTTTAGCTATGTTGCTTCGATACCGTTAGCTTTGAGTTTCCTTTTCTTCAAAGGCCGCTAGGGTCTCAAGGTTCAATATCGCCAAAATCTATAATTTTGTTCTCAACTTTAACGATGTTCTCAAGAACGATGACTCGTTTTATTATTTGTTTTGGTTCTTTTCGTCTTCTACGTTTTTTGCTCTTTCTAATAATGAATTTTGTTTTGATTTTTCTTTCCACCACCACACACATGCGAATGTCTTTTGCATTTAATTTCTATAACATTATTGCAAGATATTTTTATTATTATATAATTTTATCAGTTCAGTAATTTCCATTATAGTACTTGAGTTTATTTTTGACTTCATTTTATTTGTATTTAAAATTTTGTTCAGATATTCACGTTCGAGTGGTATTAAACAATTTTTGAATTTAATTTTTTTAGGTTTGGGTCGTTTGAATTTGGAATCCTCTATCCTCTCAAGCATTCAAAAGTCTCTCTGTAAAAAAGAATTGTTGGGAAAAATATTTTTTTTAACGAATTACAATAAAAGTAAATTGAGATGGTATTTTAAAATTATGTACTAGCACACTTTATAAGAAATCACAGTGGCATTGAGAAATTAGATACATACCGGTTGGGACTGTACTGTTTTCCTGGTTTTCGGTTAGTTACGCAAAAACAAAGGACCGATTTGTTGTTCGTTTAAATATTCGAAACTATTAGCGAATTTTTCGATTAAATTCGGAAGCTATGAATAGTTAGTATTGGCTAAATATTGAGCATATCTTGAAATAGTAAATTCTGTTGTGTATATATTTTGGAATTAGGTTCAACTGCAAAATTCGCTTAATTAAACAGAATTTTCGTTGTCTGGGTCATAACGGAATGCAGCTAAGCTATACTCAAATCTTCATACATACATACTCATGTTTAATGACAATTTTGCTATGCATAACAACCATTCTATATTGTTGCAAGCAAAGGAATGTATTTTCCTGCTGCGGATATGATATAATTCGGAAATGTCCCTGCATTTAACCACCCCCAAAACTTATAGGCATTTTATTTTACGAACGGACGAAACTGACCAAATAACACAATTCAAATAGAGACTGTACTCGATTGTGCCACACATGAGCACTTTTACGCGTAAAATTTCTGTGTGCGGACGCACAGAATCACCACCTAATTCATACTCATTGGCAGAAAGATGTTTTTACATTCCACTGCATATATGCTTAATGCATACATATGTACGTTGGTGAACCTATAACACTCGATCCATGATTCGATAGTTAAATATATGTATGCATACTTATATGTTTCTGATACTTTTAGGACTACGTATGTACATATGTATATGTATTTGTTTTTTTTGTTGATAATTTACCACAAACAAAGTGTTATTTATCTCTGCCGTCCATTATAAATCCTCCTGTAAATAGAAAAAGATAAAATTATGGGTTAACTATATCCTGAGCCAGTTCAAAATCAAATATTTTAAGCATATAGATTTTATATCAAAATGTATTGATTCGATCTAAATTGTTTAATATTTCAAAAACTATATCGACAAATAGTATTATATCCGTACAGTATGAATTCTTGTGGCAGCCGATATTTGTTTTCCGATTTCAGTTTATAGCTCACAAAAGATTTTGTCGGTTGAATTCTTTATATAATTTGACATATGATGAAAATAAGTAATAAGGGCCGGGTTCCTATGGTAATGATCATTAGATATTGTCACTGTTTATGGAAATATAGGCATGGCGAGATTTAGTTTCAATAAAACATTACATTCGAGGTATCCGTTTTAAAGTACTCGTAACTTAATGATTGTTCCTTAAATTGTTGTAAAAAATTTCGCTCAATTTTTAAAGGTATTTACTAGGAACTAAAGTACAAAGTCTCTCTTCTAAGTCCTTCCTAATATATATATATTTTTAATTATTTATTAATATATATTTTGACGTGTGGTAAACTATAGATTGGTGTACGAAACTTATTTATCCTACAGACTATATTACAAGAGTATAATAAATATTCTAGGATGGAAGTTTTAATTTAAGAATTATCCTTATGATAAATTTTAAGCAAATATTGTTACTGTACTTTATAAATAAGAAACAGAATTCGCGCGAGATTTTTTGAGAAGCGAACTAACCTTAAAAGGTTAAAAAGTTTTTTACTTTTCACTTGAACTCGCTTACTTTCATTGAAATTTTCTCTCTTCATATACTAATAATTGTGGAACGGTTAGATATATTTCTTTTTCCTCTCTCTCAGCCGACATTACTACTAGTTTAAAAATATATACATGTATGTATGTATGTGTTCAATTATGTACAACTCATAATTTTACAGCCGCTTCTCCCGAATATCGTGCCAATCCATACTCGCACAAAAGACCGAACTCACTGAAGCGATCGTGGTGCGTGCCGCGACGGTTGCACACCTGGAGTTAATGTACAAGCAAAAGCGGAATACGTCGTGACGGTGGCATACTCACCAGCCTAACTAATATATACCGGTGTGTACTCGTTAAGTGTCATCTACCAGCATTGTGCGCATAAGAATGATTTCGGCCTGCAGTAGAAACGATTGTGCGCAAGCTGCTTCCTCGCTTGCGGAAGTGGAGGGTAAAGGAGGCGTTAGAGAGTTTTATAAAGTTAGTGGCATGTGGCATATTTGTTTACACTTCCATAGGTAGGGAAGAACACTCATTTATGAATGTTTGTTGTTGTTGTTATTTAGACAGCAGCTAGTTGTCGATGACAGAGGGTGGGGATCACCTCAGGTGCTGAATGAGCTATTTGTTCTTTTATATCGTATTCAGTTCTAGAGTGACTATACTCCCTTCTTAATTTGGTTTGGCAAAATTAAAGATATTTATACTCTTGCAACATGTTGCTACAGAGTATAATAGTTTTGTTCACCTAACGGTTTTTTGTATCACCTGGAACTAATCGAGATTGATATCGAGCTATATATATATATATATATGCATATGATCAGGATGACGAGACGAGTGGAAATCCGGGTGACTGTCTGTCCGTACAAGCGATAACTTGAGGAAAAACTGGGATATCTTGATGAAACTTGATACACATATTACTTGGCACCCAAAATAGGTTGGTACTGCAAATGGGCGGAATCGGACCATTGCCACGCCCACAAAACGCCATTAAACGAAAAACTTTAAAAAGCCATAACTAAGCCGTAAATTAAGATAGAAAACTTTCACAACTAGGTTGGTAGAGAAGGCTTTTATAGTATCTAGTGTGAAAATTTAGGTGAAATCACATATCTCAGGAACTGCTCGACCGAGTTCAACCAAATTTACATCCAAAAACTGTCAAAATCGTACTATAACTTTGGGTGAAAGCAGGTCAACACTTCCCTTAGCCTCCATATACCTAACATAAATATTTTCGAACCTCCGGTTCACTTTATACTGCATTTATCGGTCAATACGTGAGAAATCGTAATGAAATTCAAAAATAATCTCTTTCTAATAACAGCGTATCCTTTTTCCTTAAGTGGATGATAAGTGGATCATAGCGATAATTTCCTTAGTTAGATATAAAGTTTTGCCAAAACCTGTTCATCCGCCTTTACACCCGAATTTAGCCCTTACTAACTTGTTTAATATAAAGTTTGCCTAACAACTGAAGGTATTTTCCCTGCTTTGATCCTTGCAAGTAGCGAGAGTATAAAATGTTCGGTTACACCCGACTTTAGTACTTCCTTACTTGTATAAGTTGTGCTATAATACTTTTGTTTTCATCCAAAGATGAAATTGTATATTTCTTGTATTTGTAAATATAACAATTCTTGGCAAACGTATCTACACAAATTTAATAGCGTTAATATGTTAATAGTTGGATAAAGTCGAAACCGAATGCTAGTATAATAAGCCACTTTGTATCCTATTACTTGCAGTTTGAAGCTGGCCGGCAGTGGAAAATTTCCGCTATGAAGATTTGCAATTACCAATTTGCCACAAACAATGCAAAAGACTTTTATGTTTATGAGAAAAGTTACACCACTTTGCATTTGACTAAAATTACATCGGTAATAACATGTCAGCAACGAATACACATATGGGCATTGACACACACATACAACCATCTATATTTACAAATCCTTGGAGTTGGAAAATATTATGAAGTAATAATGGTTAGTGCTACGAGTAAGACGGCGAAGTCAAGAAGTTGCTGGTGAAATATCCTTAGAAAGAAACGTGGAAACCAGTAAAGACAAAAGTTTGCGATAAAGTTGAAATTTAAAGACAATTATGCACAATTGTATGGGTATTAATAAAAGGTATTATACTCCAAGTGTTGACGTATCTTGACGTTTTTGTGGAAAGACATTGGTTTTGTGTGGCTGGATGCCAAGTGTAGTACATGTCTTGCATACATTTTGCGCATATCTGTTCATATATAAATTCAAATATATGTAAGATATGTACTTAATAAAAAGCTGGGATTTGTGGATATGCGTCATTATTATAACTCCAAAATGCGTACATATGTTAGTACCGTCAGATACTATCTATAGGTTAAATCGGGAAATCCTCAATTGCTTTTGATTAAAAATGTTCCATAGAAATATTGCCCAAAAGTAAAATAAATGTAATGAAAAAACATTAATTACACCTTTATTCTTCACGTGGCAGGTCAGCTCGAGCTAAGTAGTTTTAACGGAATTTAAAGTTACTGGACCCGAACGCCAATCACCATAGAGTTCCTTGTATGAAAAAGTCAAAGGAAAACACATACATTTATGCATAATAACTTTTTTTTAAGTTAACACTGCTTATATAGACCTAACCTGTCCACCGCTTTAAATACCTAGCTCACTGCATGTGTGCGTACATATGTATGTACATATGCATATGCGTAGAGTAAGCTTGCACCGGTAATTCTGTACATTGCGATCAGGCACTCACGCTGTAAAAGTATTGCGCTGATGACACTCTCCCTCTTTCTCACCGTTATATTGCATTTTTGTTGAGCAACACATGTCAAAGCAATATGGAAAATAAATATGAATGTATGCAAGGAAATTATGTTTTCGGCTTCACCTATCTGCTTTCATAGCCAACAACCAATTTTTTTTTCATTGCAGTATATAATTTAGTAATAATAAACAAGTAAGGAAGGGCTAAGTTCGGGTGTAACCGAACATTTTATACTCTAACAACTTGCAATGATCAAATCTAATGTTAGGACAACTTTATACTAATAAATATTGCGAAACAATTCAACATTCATTATTCAGCGAATTCGATTACAATCAAATTTGGTATTTTATTAAGTTGGAGTATAGGTCACAGACTCACTTAGTTTTGTTACTAGATTTTACTTTGAGTCAGCTAAAATTGTATTAAAATCATCTTCACATGAGATATATGGAATATAAACTCAACTGAAGAATCTAAATTTAATATAATGAATTGATGTGAAAACGTCAACCAGAGGATCGCAATTCATTATTTTAGAGATATATATGCTTTGGACCAAAGTTTAGACCGATTCCATTAATATTCCCACACAATTTTTAAGAAAACTTATTCACTTAATTATACTAAAGTATCACACATTTTGTCAAGCTATATTGGGGATAGAGAAAATGATGGGCTGATTGAGTTAATTTTGATATTTTTGGGGTATATTTGAGATCATATTTTCAAGGAATTATATATATATATACCTATATAACTCACACCTTAAACTAAATGTTACAGTAACGGAAATCAATATATGTAGGATTGGGGAGTTGGAGTAATGCGTAGACTAAATTAACATATTTTCGGCATTAAACTATAATATATCTAATGTTATACGTTCAGTTAATTTTGCTAAGATATCTTAAATATTGATTGATATATATGTCATATGGCTAACCGGAAGTTTGAAATTCATATATAAGGTATATGAGAGATAGGAGTAATATTGACCCGATTTTATCTATTTTTGGCAATACAACATTAATTACACAAAGCTCCCCGAGTTTCTTTAAAGTATCTCACATATCGTCACCAACAAAACATATAAGGAGTAAAGTGAACCGCATGTTTGAAAATCCTGAAAATCCCGGCTTAACTCATCTTAGGCACAAAAATGCACCATAGTCGCCATATTCGGTAACTCGGGGCTTGAACAGTTATGGTCCGATTTGAACAGTTTTTAGACTTGAGATGATATACCTCAAAGGCACTATTTGTGCAAAGTGCGATATATTCTTTGGTGCTTGATTTGTATACTGAAAAGTGTAAGAATAATATGGAATTCAAACTGTGCAATATAGGAATTAGGCGTGTTAATAGTCTGATTTAACGAATTGTTTAGGAGATATCTACATTAAACTTAATCGAGAGCGCGGCCACGCCTACTTAAACGTTTTTTTTTAACCATATATGCCCCT